ACACCTGCATCCTAGGCATGATATACTCCAGAGATATCTGTGCGTTCACAGGCGTAATGACCCTCACCATATCCAGTAGCTGCGTGATCGTCCTAATCGCAGAAATGACCACAATCTCTGACTTGTCATTGAGCAAAGCAACGAGATATGGCAAGACCCGGTCCAGTTTTGCTTCGTCGGTCAACCGCTCAGAAAAGGCCAAAAGTATATCGCATGCCTTAACTTTTGAATTTGCGCGTGCCGTATTTCGGAGAGAGGAGACAATCAGCGTCAGGAATATCAGCGTGCCGTCATCTGCCAACGGCTGCTTGTCGCTCGACACGGAATGCCCATTATTCGGGATGTTGAGTCGGACTGGGAAGTGCCCCAGTCCCAGCCTGGGAGCCACCGGTCGTTCCTCCACCTGCGTATCGTGATTGTGATATCCCAAGAAATAAGAGATCTTGTCGAAATCCGACCACACCCTCTCGATCCTCTCATCAGCTTGACCGACGTTCTTGGCAGGATCTGAAGAGTGCCCAGGGGAGAGATCCGTAATCACCTCCATGTACTGGTGCAGAAAGTTGTAAAAGTATGCCGGAAACACCTTTCCCTTCCAAAACTCAAGGTACTGTTCCGCCGAATATCTCTTCTGCGGATCCAGCTGTATCATGTGGCCCACCATCTCCCTCAGGTCCTTATCAGGGATCCGACTCAGGTGCGATATCCCAGGATCATAATCCCCTTTCCGGTACTTGTACAGCTGACTCAAGCTGAAGATGGGCGCTTCAAGAAACAGCTCTGCAATCACACACCCGACGCTGAACACATCCATCGCCCATGTTATCTTTGCATTTGGGTCTAGTTCCTCCCCCGAAGGAACAAATCGCTCTGGCGCCAAGTAGCAAGTTCTGCGGCCGGACGTGTCGAAAAAGTAGGAAAAATCGGCAGGGTTGTCCTCAGGTAGCATGACCGGCTTGAACGAGGACGAAAAGTCGGACAGGTACAGCCAGTTCCACGACGTCACCAGTGTATTCTCCGTCTTGATATCGCCATGATAAATGTCCTTGTCATGGCAGTCACGCACAGCGCAAAGCAGTTGAAAGGCCAACCATCTCTTCTCGATATCTTCCAAAAACGGTCGTGTGCTCAGACGGTCATATAACGAGTTGTAAAAGAACTGGCGAATCAAATATCCGTTCGTTTCGGTCTCGATCGCACGTTGATATGGAAGGGCATTTGGTACATCGGCCAGCACGTTTCTTACCCCTAGAGACAACAAGTCAGCAATGCCCACAGTAAAGCTGAGGGGAAAGGGCGCGTACGAAGGACCTGTTCTTTGTACTTGTCCAGGGACATGGGATATGGTTTAATGAGAACTTTGACTAATACGACTCCATCATGGTGTCTTGCTCGGATGCTCTTCATGAAGCGGGCGGTGCCAATGCTCTTTTCGTAGACCAAGTCGGCAAGCTCAGGAACGTCTATCCCGGCAGCCCCAGCTGGGGGTGCGGCGAGAGAAAATCCCTGCCCCATCGCTGTGTGAGATATTGAGCGGTGGGACGCTTAGAACAGCTGGCTACCTAGGTCTCAATGTTGAGAAAGCTCGGCGCATTTTGGAGTACCAGTAGACGAATGGTTCGCGGTGCTCGAAGTTGCGGAAAGGTCGTCAACAATGCGGGGTGAGGGAGGTATTCGTGCTTGGTACGGTCGGAGGTCGCGAGTGACGGTCAGATGTAGTCTTCTCGGGGTCGAAATGCCGGGGAAATGTGTATGGGACAGAACTTTGGGTCAGCTTTATGATGCACGAGGTGCTTTGGTCAGTCGGTGTTGAAGCCTACAGTACGCACACGGTGGTGGGCCAATCGGTGCCTGCCGATAAGATAACGATAGCTTTTGGCTCAAATGAAGTCACTGTGGGCCGTTTACCTTTCAGCTCCACCCATGATCCCAGCCTGTCACCCCGCGAACTCCACACCCCGCTTTGTGCATATAAGTGACAACTTCTCGACAGCCTTGGAGGTGGGCAACAAAGCACTCGAAAATGATGCTGGAGGTTTGTTGGGAGAATAAGTTGATTTCATTTCCGAAGAATGTGACACAATCCTCAATGACAGTCACAGCCTCAAAAGTACAGGATCCTAACAGATTTCTCTAACAGTTTTTTGTATTTAAAACAAGTACCAGCAGAATATCTTGATGCTATGTGATAAGAAAGAAGCACGAGAATCTCTAACCGGTCATCATGAAGATACTCTCCTGGACATCATTACAAACCGAACACCCCCTAATCTCCCCAACACCAACCGCAAACACCTTCCTTAACATGGGTATATACCAAAAACTAACACGTTTTGGGTGCGATATGTACAAGGCGGCGAGCCAGGGATATGACCTGAGAAGGTCGAGAAGAGAATGCAGCTAACCGTGTCGCAACCGAACTCCGTGGCCAATGCCAAACAATAAAGAGACACTCATCGAGACATTATTCAGAACGTAGATCGAGCGCTGGTATCATAATCGCAAGCTATCAATCAGGACCCAGTTGTTGTCGTCAGCGGGTGGCTGCTAGATCCCGTCTCGGTAGACCCATCGCCCTCGATCGTCCGTCTCCAATGCTCTGGCAGGCAGACACACACGAGGGGGAACGCCTTGATTTCACCGTTCGCTGGTGGAGAAGTCGATGCCACTCTGCCAGATGTGTTCGAGACCCCGCTGTCTCGCTGAGCATTCCTGCGAGCCTCCCACTCCTCCGCTCTCTCGTCCAACAGAATACCCGTCGCCCACCCATCGTCCCAAATACCCACAACCTTGAGCATATGCCCGCGGTCCAAAGTGAACTCGTCAGGGGCACGCGGTTGATATGCCCACAGCACAGCCACCCTATCGCCAGGGTGAATTTCGTCTTGCGAATAGTAGTCTCTGAAGAATGGCAGCTGCTCGGACTGCTGGCTGGCCATACCTTGGGGAGAGGACATCCCACCACTAGTTGGGGAGTGCGGCTCATCACTATTCAGCACCGAGCTGCTAGAGAGCGAACCATTCCTCCTGAGAGCAGTTGGCGGAGGTCTGAGAACTCCAATCCCCGTGCCGCGGTCTGATTCTGGGCTGGACCCAAACCCGTCAGAGGAGGAATGATCGTCGCCTCTTCTTCTGTCGCTCCTCCTACTGTAGCCGGCAGACGTGGCTGTGGCGATATCTCGGCCAACGTGGTGTGATGGTGCATCGGCCGAGTGTCCCTCGAGTGCCGACATCCGGGCTATTCTACCGCCCGGTAGAGCCTCAAAGCCCGGCGGCACACCTGGCTGTCCTGGTGTTCCTGGCTGAGCCATTTGAGGAACGGCCGGCCCTTTCCTAGCAGGCGATGGTTGATTGAAGACGCTTCCGCTCTGGCTTCCCTGCCTCTGCCTACGCCGCCGCCAACAGAGGAAGATGCCCAATGCCAACAGCGCAGCACCGCCAATCGATCCAATCACAATTCCAGCGATGGGTCCCCCTCCTAGCCCGGTCTTCTCAGCGTCGTTTTGCTCGTTCGAGGGCGGCAGTGCTGTGTTTGTGGGAAGTACAAAGGTAGGTGTGATCGAGGGCAAAACGACGCCAGCACACCTCGAATCGGCATTCGAGTTGTAGCAGCAACTATCGGTCGAGTTGATGCCGCCCTTAGCGCAGTACCAACACAGACCAATGGTGCTACTACCATACCCGCAGTTCTCGGGCTCGTTGGCGATACCCTGGATACAGGAGCGTCCGGAAAGCGCATTGTCAGGCGATGAGCAGTCCGTAAAGTCGGCTCTGATCTGCTCCTTTGCGTTCCTACCGGGGTTGGGACAGAGCGTGTTGTCACTGACAACGTACGTCTCGGCCTCGGCAAATTGTGACTAGTCATGGTGTCAGTACAACCTCCCAATTCTACACCAAAACATAGGGGACATGGGGTCTCGTACGCATGTTTCCGCGCACACAGGTCGAGAGTCTTCGGGGGCGAGACTGCAATCTGCTATCGATTCTTGCACGATAGTATTACATATTACAGTAGTTGTGAAACGCGCGTAGAGCTCGGTGGTGTTGGTGAGATCAAAATCCCCGCAACCAAGCAGGGTTTGATATCTAGGAACAGTCAGTAGTCGAAACCTCGCAACATCACATGGCGTCGACGTACTTTTCTTGGACATAGTCCGATTGCACAAAAGTCAATAAGCGTTGATCGAAAGTCTCGGTGCTAGAAACGAATGATAAGAAACGACTGCCGGCAGCATGTTAGTCCATCTACAATCTGAAACCCGCTGGAATGGATGTCTGATATCCACGTGGGACAAGCGACTTACAAGATACCGTTCAGACGACCATTGGAAGTTGTAATGGAAGCTGACTGCCAGGCCGGACAAGCTTTAGATCCTTGCAGTGAAATGCAGGCGGCCATGGCAGTTGGTGATGCTGATAATAAAGAAAGAAGCACGGTCTTGGTGCTTGCTAGCGAATGCCCTCGCCTTCTCCGGGCTGGCTGTCCGCTCATTGTGATCTCCTCCTCTCCCCCTCTGTGGTGCCCAGTTGGCCTTTCGGCAGACGCGTCACTGGTGATGTCGCAGCAGTTTCCGGGTTGTGGTGTCACCTTTGCGAAGTTGTCATGGTTGTCTTGGGATGCTATCATGGCTCATAGTCTTGAGGTGTGTGGTGCCAGCGAGTCGGAGCGGCGAACCTTGTTTGACGTGGGCGTACGGAGTATTACCGGCCTAATTTGTTGCTCAATTGAGTAATATTGCGTGTATTAAGTCCCTAACAAAAAACTGTCCGTGGCGTTGAGCTGGTGAATGGCGAATGGCGAACGGCGAATAGCCCAAGGTCGGGTTGACGATAGAGAGGAGACTGGACGAGCTGTTTTTGTTATGGAAGGCAGCTGGGCCTGGTCCCCGCATATATGCGAGTGAATGAGCGGCAACCAGTGAGGAGGTCGGTGGCCAGCACCAGCGCGACAGCGACCAGCGGTTCGCTCTTGCCGGTCAAGGTGTGGTGGCTGCAGGAGTCGGCCAGAGACAATTGGCAGGAAGGGATGGCAGTCAAGATGGTGGTGGTGGTTGGACAGCCGACTGACGCGATGATCGCTGCAGGTTGCAGGAACAGAAGGCCCAAGATGCAGTCGCAGCGCGGAGGCCGAGATGGGGTGCAAACGAGCGGAACGAAACAAAGTCTATTTCTGAGGGTGAGGGTGTGAAGACGGTCGAGGTCACCTGTTACTCGTTGTGTCTGTACAAGTGGCACGCCCCAAGAGAACAAAAGGAAGAGAACGACGAAGAGAGAGACGGAGAATTGAAGGTGGATGTGTGGATTTGGAAGTCAGCCAGGAAGCGTGTGGATTGGTCAGGGACCCACCGCCAATCTCGCTTGAGGTTAAGGTATCGGTGTACCGCTTGCCTCATCAGGCTTAGGGCTGCGTAAATGCAGGGGCTTTGCAGATAAACCCTGTCCTTTTACAGGTTGTGGTGCTTCAAGTCTTTCTACAGGGCGCCCTGAATCAACAACGTGCAGAAACAAGAAGCCTCTTTGTGATGTTTTGATGGAAGAGAATACAGATCACGATGTTGGAGACATGAGTCCTTCCAGGACTTGTTGGGACGAAATAAAGTTGGGAGAGCCCGCTGCCGGTTGTGGAGCACTGGGACTTTGGGACATTACGAAGTATAGGCAGGCCATGAGGGCTATTGCAATTCTTATGCCTTGAAAAGCAGCCTGTGCGCTTACCTGGCAAGAGGAATTTTTGCTTCCAGCACCTTCGTATAGACGAAGAGGATTTAACAAACTGTGAGATGGTAACAAACCGCAAATCTAGCGGTGTACACACGGAGCACAGAAAACAGTCCTGTCATCTGAATTCAGTTTGTTGTGTTGCCATGTGTTGGTCAGAGCTCCAAGCTGCCATGTTTGACAGCGCCTTGCATCTTTAGCTTTTTCCCTCTGCTGAAGACGCGTTGCGCACAGATGGTGGCTGAGCACGAGGCTGCAAAAAGTAAATCCGAAAGGTTGTTTCTGGCCCGCCATGGCATTGAGGCGCTTGTCTATGATCGACTCGCCCAGCACCATGCTCCTGCGACTATACCAGCCGAGTTGTGTTCAACGCATTCAACCAGCAGTGAGTGGTTGACATGCTTGACATGGAAATAGCTTTAAGGTCTTCTAGGGACTGCCTTCCTGTGCAACTGCAATCACTTAAAAGTGCCCCCCAATGTCGAGGATGAGCTTGATGGGATGGTGGGTTGGGAGACTTTTCGATGTGGGGCCCCGGACCCGGGACCGAGCTAGCACGAAATAATAGTGGGGCAAGCACATGGTTTCAAAGTCAGTCTCTTCTCATTGGTTGCCGGGACTTGGTGAGACAGCTTTTGTGGACGCCCCCACGATATCAACCCGATGGCTGTCTTTTGTATGTATCGCCGACCTCTGCAGCTCGCTCCAGCTTTCACCAATGGGAGGTATTCCTTCGCCGCCTTCGACATCATGGACCATGCCATCGACAGGCTCAATTCCAACTCTTAGAGATCCCGAAGGGCATCTATTCGGAATCTGCAAGTGCGCGATACGGTCTGTTGAGCCGGGAATCAAAAGACCCGACTGCACGAATAATCTAAATAAGCGCTTTAACTACCGGGCGGGCGATTCGACTGGTTGACGGAGCGCGGTGCATCGGAATGTGTTTCTTGCCGCCCATTCTCGGAACCAGGAATGTATTTCAGGCCATTGGACAGCCGCCCGACGACACCACACGGCTCGGAACCTCTGCGTAACTGAGCGTAACCAGATATTATCTGGCTCTGGGATGGACGGGAGCGGGTGAGCTAGCTATCTTTGTCTTGTTTCTATGTGTATCCCGACTGCCGGAATCTTTCCTTTTTTCCCTCGTTTTCGTTCAGCATCATACCGCTCAGACCCTCTGGCCATGATGCGACAACCATCTGCGATCTATCCAATGAATGCCACAGGAGGTACCGAGTCTACCAAACAAGCTGTTTCCCGCGTTCCATCTTCCACCTCAGGTTTCATTCCGCATTCTAATGCTAGTCTGAACCGGGCCTTGTTCTTTGTTTGCTTCTCTGTAAATACTAGGTGGGATACTCGACAACTAGAGAAGCGCACTGCTTCTTAGCACTATCTCGTCTCCACAACATCAGTCGGACACGCCGATTCCATGTCTGCTAGCCAAATGATTTTCAGGACCTCCATCCCTTCGAAGCATGGGTCTCTGAACAGATCATTCATGCAAGCACTTGCAAAACGCTGACACCCCTTTTCATACACCCAGCAGCCAGATTGGGCGAAGCGAACTCCAGATGGTCCAACGTAACCCAACCCAAACAGAACTGTTTCTCAATGCATAACAAAGCATGCCGTCCAACGAGCAAGCGAATGTGTCGTTTTTCACATCGTTTCCCCAGGACCAAATTCAGCTCTGTACTTACCGGCCTTATAAGAAACCTGAACCGAACAGAGACCTCTCGGTAACTGTCAAGCGAAGCAGCTGCTGCCAGCTTCCCCCGCATCCTGACACACTGGAGGGTTGGTAGAGAGATAGACGATGTTCAAATGCCGCAACCTTGTCTGGGAGGACCCCTGATTAGTGTCGGTAGTTGTTTTGAGCCCCATCTTTATGCTTAACGTCGATGGGAAGAGGGTCTGGACTCCCGGTGGCTATTGTCGCGATCAAGATCTGCCTACCTAAACAGGCTGTTGACCGCTCAGTCAGATCTAACCGATGGCAAAAATAACGCAGATCCGGGGAAGATTTCCTGGCTGTACACAGCAACACACAGACGGGAGAGCTGTTCACATGGCATAGGAGGCATACATTTGCCGAAAATAGCCTTGCTTCTGATGCTACTACCAACCTACTGCCATGGTACACAAAGATGGCCACCGAAGGGATTGCCATACTATATGGTGACTTGTTGCATGCCGAGTTCAGGTTGCGGACAAACTTCAACACAACACTAATAGACCACAGAACAGTAGATTCAAGACATGAAACCAATTCATGTATTACAGTTAAGGCATCACATACAAGTCTTCATGGGAACGAAGCAAAGTCAAGACAAAAAAATATTATTATCTCCCATCCTAAAAAGAAAAAGGCAAAAGTTGTGATCATCATCCACACCTTCCCTCCCGTCCTCCTCTTCTCATCCAGCCCAGCCGGATGTACTTACTCACCACCCACCTACCCGCACCTTAGAGTTTACACCACCACCTCCCAGCTCTCCCCCTTTATATACTCCCCCTCCTCCACTCATGTCCTCCCCCGATCGCTAGAGACATACCTAATCCTCTGCCTGGTAGTAAACCCCTCCTCGTCTGTGGTGACCACAGTCCGAGTCTTGTAAATAAGAGAAGGAGTAGCCGCCGCAGCGGTAGAAGATTGAGAGAGAGAAGTGTATGGTCTCCGGTGAAACTGCTTCTTGGTTCGGAGGTGGGGGGAGGTGAATTTAGCGGTGGAGCCGATGACGGTCATTTTGAGGATTTAGGGGGGGTTGTGAAAGGGTTGGGGGTGAGATAATAAGAACTTACCTTGTTGGTGAGTGAGATGGAGATGAAAGGTTGTTGTGGTGGGAGGCTGTTTTGGTTAGTAGAAAGGTGTGGAGGATGTATTTTTGATGATGATGATGATGATAAGGGAGGAAAGGGGATTTGGGGGGCAGGGGGAGGGGCAGGGGGTTTATATACATTTTGGCTCAGGGGGTAAAGACAATACATTGTTCAGTATGAGGAGATAGACAATGAGATTGTGTTGCTAGTAAAGGATAATGCTTTGTGTGCGGTTTCTAAGTGGGAGGCTTTCTTTGTTGAAGAAAAGAAGAGAACAACGACAAAGGAGGATATCTTATCTTTAGAGATACCAATGTATCGGAGAACGGGGACAGTTGTCAAGGTCTTCACTGAACACTTGGGTGTCGTCGAGGCTACGATGGATATCCACAGAGATCATAGCTGTCCCCTACCTACCTTAGTTATGACTTGCTCGACAGATGAGTATGTATTATCAAGTCATTCGGAAATAATGCCTCACACATCCATGCCGAGTGTGTTACAGGGGTAAGATGACACTAGCAAGGGTATGTCGTTAACAAAAAGATGGACACTGCAGCTTTGAATAAAGGCCGTGAGGACCAGTACAGTATATCTATCCCGAGGGGATGGGGAAGGGCAAGGCCAACGGATGATGGAAACAGCGAGGCCATGGTAACTGAGGCGACCCAGAGTGTCTTTGATATCCACTTACCTGCAAATTGGACATCTGTGAGCCTAAAAGTATAGTGGCTAAGGGGGCTTCATTCAGGTATCCAAAAGCATATGTGTTTCGAATTTGTGGGGAATCTGCACGGTAAACCATGCCTCAAAACATAATAATAGATTTGGAAGAGAAATGAATAGGCCTTAGAAGATAGTTAGTAGACTTGAGAAGTTTATCAATATGCCTTAAAAACAGTTGAATAGGCCTTGAATGATAGTTAATATGTTTTCAAAGATAGTTGAGAGGCATACAAGGATATTTGAAAGGTTTATTTTCTGTTTAAAATGGTGTAGACTTCCAGTAACTTCCAAAGGTCGTAGGTCTTTGTCAGCTTTGGGGCCCTTGATCGTCGTAGGTAGTTTGGTCTCCATATACCATATGAGAACCACTGTGTAGCCCCTTGACAGTCCACCACCGCAGAGAGTCTGGCTGACAAGGATCTATCTTGAGCCAGCGCCACGCCGCTGGGAAATTGCTGGGTGTACTTGGGGCGGAAAGACAGATTTCTGAGAGATAAGGGTAGTTCCTGTCGATGCCAGCATGTCTGAAAGCCATGTATAAGGCCGTCAGATGTTGAATATCAAATGCCAAAGTCTCAGAGTCCATACGCTATTGCCCCAGAAGAATTCTCGTTCCGTCGGCGTACACAAGAATGAGGCCGATTATTGGCGAATGTGACCCCCACCAGTCAAAATACGTCTCCGCGGTTCCAAGTCTTCTGGGGGAATATGTCACCTTCTTTTTGCAGGCAATGATTTGGGATACATTAGACATATGCGCCACGTACGCGAACGAGGAACCTGGCTCATAAGAGCAGGCTGAACGGAGCCATGATGGCGGTTCTGGACCGGGCTTAATAGCGATGTTTGGCTGCAGCGTTGCAAACACCTTGACACCCCGATTGGAAAGGTTAAAGTATGTCTGAACGGGCTCCCCGTTGTCGAGTGGGCCTATCAGCCGGCTCCAATTCAATTGTTGCGTTTGGAAACTTGTCGAAGAGCAATGAGCCAGGCTCAATAGGGGTTGCGGCTGTTGGCCTGGTAATCACATCGTTGCCTTTGTTGGTTACAATCTGCAAATCCACAATTAGTACCGTGACGTGGCTCTCAGCTGCTGGGGGTTCCTTACCACAAGGCAATCTCTGAGGTGTATGCAGCACGCCGAAACCAGATGCTGTTTATATATTCATCCGGTGCGACTGGCAAATGTATCCAGATTGGATCCTCTGTTAAGATGACGAAGTCATTATATATAGCCAGGTCATCTTCACCTATGTAGTGGGTGTGAAGATAATAGAGACCTTCAGACCAGCAGAATGAATATCCAGTGACGCCCGGTCCATTGATTCGAAATGGAACCATTTGAAGACTTTCCAAAGGCATCTCAGGTTGCAAAGGAGATAGAGGGCGGCAATACAGCTTGAGGGTAGCTACGTTCTCCCGCGGCAATAGCGCGGAGAATGTCATATTGTGGAGATTCGATGAATATGTTGGCGCATTCACTATATTTCGGAGTTTCACGCCATTTATAAATGGAAAATGGTCGGCCAAGTGTACCCTCGGGTGAATAAGAGGCACTTACATCGTATTCTGCCTGGAGTACCTGGGGGGACGAGAGAACCCGCCACCAGAATCCTGGTCCAAGATGTTCGGATGAAAGATTCATTTGCTTGCTCTCGGTACTAGAAAAGAGCAGGTCCCGCATGCCCAGGTGATCTTCTAGCACATAGAAGATGTTGACATCGGGGGTCATTTCCGGGTCGTACAATTTCCGGAAGCATTGCGCTCGACGTATGTTGGAGAGTTCACAGACGTATTTATAAACCCCAATGTCAATATACCGTGCCCAGATGATTTGCGAGAGATCCAGGTTGTGGTGTAGGTCTTCAGGGGCAGTATACAGTCCTTGTAGCATAGCAATCGTGTACTTCCCAACCGCAAGCTCGGATATCATAAGGCACAGCTCATGAGGAAGGTGACACCACATATCACCCATTTTGGTAGCCAGAAGCTGCACCATCCTCTTTTTTCGTTTGATATCGTATGATGGCATTGGTTCGAACGAGAAGGCAGTGATGGTGAGGAGGTCGTGTCGAGGATTGCCTGCATAGTCGAAACATTCTGCGTGATATACAGGGACAGATCCGTTCAAATAAGACTGATCATGAGCACAGGCTGGAGGGCATGGCCTGAACTCCTCCTTCAATCTTGGTACATCTTCAATACTATGCTCATTATTTATGAACGCAGAGTAAACTTCACCATGAAGTCTTGGTTGGCCAATGATTAGCAATAGCTGTGTTTGGGGTAGGAGTCAGACAACTTACTGGTAGCTACCATCCATTCGTTAGGCTCAATTGGGTAGGTGCAAAGGCGACACCGGCGAGGGACACAAAAGCCAACCCATGGGCAATCAGATGGGGTATCGGGGTTGTGTTCAGAGTCGTGATCAGGGTCGTGATCAGAGTCGCGATCGAAGTTGCGCGCGGAGTCATCGACAAAGTCGGGACGGGAATTGCTGTTGTCGTTATCCATGCCGAGGCCTGGTGACAAAGAAAAGTCGAAACGTCGAATTCAAAGGCAAGGAGTTAGAGTTTAATGCAAAGGGACAGATGAATATCATCTCAGCCAACAGCGGGCCATTGACGAGACCACAGTATGGGCGACAAGGCCATCATTGGTGAGACTCGTCCAAGCACTGTACTAGATGCACAGCGCTTGAGGCGCAGCCTGAAACGCTGAAGACAAACCACCGATGGGCAAGGATGAACCAGCCGCCGGTAACCTTTGAAGATAAACCGGTGGTAAGCAGCATGGTGGTCCTGAATGGTAGAGCTGTGGGAAGGAGTCTGGGAAGATTGATAGTGATAAGCGGTGGACGATGACACCAACCTGGAGCTGCCCCACCTTTACACCATGATCTTGACCCCGCGGAAGTGCATCTATCCCCCACTTTGAGCATCTTGTGGATAGATAATCTTACATCTCTTCTCTTTTTTGCTCGCTTCAACTACAAAAGGCATTCCTCATTTGTGAATTTAACCTCTATTAAGAGCCGAGGCCATGTCGTCCCAATCCCCGGCTTTGCGAGCAGCCATTCTGATTGTCTCAACGACAGCTGCAAAAGACCCCTCCACCGATGCCGCAGAAGCTACACTACGCAGTGTGTTCGAGCAGGATGGTGGCAACCAATGGACGGTTGCTGAGACTCATATCGTGAGCGATGACTCGGCAGAAATCCAGCGTCAAATCACCACTTGGACGGAACCTGTGGAGGAAGGCAAACACATAATCAACTTGGTTGTGACAACGGGTGGCACCGGCTTTGCCATTGCTGACCGCACCCCTGAAGCTGTGTCGCCATTACTTCACAAGCAAGCCCCTGGTCTCGTTCACGGAATGCTAGCAGCTTCTCTGGCTATCACTCCTTTTGCCATGATGTCCCGCCCCGTTGCGGGCGTGAGGAACAAAACAGTCATAATAACACTTCCTGGGTCCCCCAAGGGCGCCAAAGAGAACCTCCAAGCTGTGATCAAGACACTACCACATGCTTGTCTTCAAGCAGCCGGAGCCAATTCTAGAGCTCTTCACTCTGGCGGAGTGAAGAAACTTGAGAAGGAAGCAGGAGTGGGCTCCCAGGGCCATGCCCAGGCTCAAGCTCACACTCACGGTCACTCTCATTCACACCATCATGACCATGGCCATAGCTGTCATAGACACACACATTCGCACGGCCACGGCCATGGACACAATCACGGAAACTTAGTCAGACTCTCCTCTGAAAACCCCAAATCCAACGACCCATCGCTCGGCCCCAGCCGAAGACACCGCTCCTCCCCATACCCGATGCTCTCGGTCGACGATGCTCTCTCCCTCATAGCCAAACACACCACATACCCCACAACCACCACCGCCAAAGTCACCCCTGACCTCGTCGGCAAAGTCCTTGCTCAAGACATCTACGCCTCCGCTCCCGTCCCAGCCTTCCGCGCCAGTATTGTAGACGGCTATGCCGTTGTCGTCCCCTCCTCTGGGCACCTCCGCGGAGTCTACCCCGTAGTTTCTACCTCCCATGCCGCGCCCTCCTCCAACCTCGTCCCCTTGAAAGAAGGCCAGATTACCCGCATCACCACCGGCGCGCCCTTACCCCCGGGCGCCAACTCCGTCGTCATGGTAGAAGACACAGTCCTTATCTCCACGACCAAAACCACCCACCCAACCACCGGCCAGGAAATCGAAGAAGAATCCTCCGTAGAAATCCTCTCTGACGGCATCGTCAAACCCGGCGCCAACATCCGTGAAATCGGCTCCGACATCCCCCTCAACACCCTCCTCCTCCCAAGCAAGACCCGCCTCTCCCCAGCTTCTATCGGCCTCCTCTCCAGCATCGGAACCCAATCTGTCAAAATCTACTCTCCACCCACAATCTCCCTCCTCTCCACCGGCGACGAAATTGTTGACCCTTCCCTTCCCCGCGAATTATCCCTCGGCGAGGTCCGCGACTGCAACCGTCCAACCCTCATCTCAGTCATATCCCAAGCAGGCTTCACCCCTCTCGACCTCGGGATCGTCTCAGACAAGCAATCCAACCTCGAGACCACCCTCCGCCGGGCCCTTCGATCCTCCGACATAGTCCTCACCACAGGCGGCGTCTCAATGGGTGAATTTGACCTCCTCAAACCAACCATCGAACGCTCCCTTGGCGGGACAATCCATTTCGGCAGAGTCAACATGAAGCCCGGCAAACCCACCACCTTCGCTACCGTCCCAGTCAAGAACAATGACGGGACGAAATCCCAGAAGATGATTTTCAGCCTCCCTGGCAACCCCGCCTCGGCGCTGGTGACGTTTTATCTGTTTGTTCTCCCTGCTTTGCATCAGTTAGCGGGTATTAGTCCAGTAGGACTCCCAAAAGTGCCAGTGGTGCTAGGTCACGACTTTCCCGTTGATAAATCGCGGCCAGAATACCACCGCGCCATGGTGACCGTCTCGAAGGAGGGGAAACTCATCGCCACTAGCACAGGCGGGCAGAGAAGTTCCAAAGTAGGAAGTTTGGAAGGGGCGAACGCACTGCTTACCATGCCGGCGGGTAATGGTCCGATCAAAAAGGGAGAAAAAATCGAGGCGCTGATGATGGGCGAGTTGAGGAGTGAGCTGGCTTGATCTTTTGTCTCTTAACTTACGATGTAAACGAACAAGGAAGTTTTGAAGCCATGTAGCGTAACCACAAGATTTGAATTATGGCTGTTATATATTTCTCTGCACCAGCGAGCAAAAAGAAAGTGGCATTCAAGTACCTCTGGAAAAGAAAATGATCGCCTGGTGAAGAAAGGAGAAGTGAAAAATCAAAAAGCTCACCAACTAGCTCTGCTAGTTGGATAGAGACAACCAGTGGTTTTACTTGGACTCGAACGGACGCCCCTTGGTACTCTTTGGTCCTTACCAAAGTCGGTGCCGCGACTCCCAACACTGCTGAGCCATTTGCCAAGAGCAGAGTCGAAGGAGACTCGTCCAGTGACGAAAGGAGCGAGAAAGGCAGTATATAAACCCCAGAAGGGGAGGAGCGACATTTGGTGGTAGTCACATGATGCGGAAGGAGCAACCTGATGCTGGTTGTGTGGCAGGAGCAGCATCACTGTTTTGGAGAGATCAATCAACATAGCCAGTCTCTTTGACTCTGTTCTCCTTTGTACAATAACCTTGGCAAAAAAAGAGTAACTCTACTTCTACACACTCCCCACCACCTATCCCCCAACCCCATCCCCCAAGTTAATACATATGCCTGTCCATCATCATCAATGCCAATAAAGACCAACCAACCAACCAACCCATACCCCCTTAATAGCCCATTTACCGCCCTAATTTCTTCCAAAAAACGCCAGGTGTAATGAAGAAAAAAATGAAGCTTGCTTACTACAACACAGACGACGACGACGACGATGACAAGACACGCTCGCTATAGCAGTCTCAAATTCTCATGGATGCGTGTTTCTTTTTGGGTGTGGGGAGGAGGGGGGGGGCGGCGTCATATATGTGGTGGTGTGTTGTGTTGTGTAAGATATGTGTAATGTACACCGTTTCGTCATCCTTGAATGATGCGTGTGTGATAATGGTACGTTAGAGGTAGTTAAAACCACAAGACAAGACAGGACTGAAAAGTTGATCAGGAGTGCATTCCGAAATCCTCAGCCTTACCGGCAACGAGAAGTCCAATGATGAGCCCGAAGAGTCCAAGAACGGAGCTGAAAATCTCGATGACGAGGATCTTGACGAAGCTGTGGCATATGATGTCAGTAGCTGTACCTTGATCATGTTGTTGATCGCGGGCGCACATACAGAGTGGGATCGGCAGCATCGGCAAGAGCAGCACCGCTACCGTTGATACCAACAGCAACACCGCAAACAAGGTTGCACATGCCGACAGTCAGACCAGCCCAGAAGAGCGCATAACCCGTAAAGTAGGTGCTGCCAGAGTATACATCCGCGCCCTCGACGGGGGCGAGCTTGGCGGAGAAGACGATGGCCATAATGACGCCGTAAATGGCGACGACCTCACAGAAGATAATCGAGATCAAGTTCTTGGTTCGGATTCGGGGGGCCTTGACACCACCACCCAGGATGGAGGAACCGGTGATAAAGATACCCCTGTAGTTTGCATCACCATGTTATTATGCTGTTGCTCTGCCCAGAACGATAGGGGTTGGTCCATACCATGCTGCTCCTACTACTGAAAGGCCGATACAGAGGGCAATGCCTGTGTCTGCCCACGCGTATGGGGAAACGGATTCGAGAAAGGCGCCGACCTAGAACAAGCGATTCGTCGTAAGCATGCTGTCGAGACCGCGTGATGATGGCTTGCGCTGATAGGAACAGATCGAACGGATGGACGGATGTAATCGTACATTGAATGCTTCACCGTTTCCAGTAAAAAGCATGTCTGCGCAGTCAATGTGGTTAGCAAAGGAAACTCTTCATGATGGCCATCTCGCCATGCATGCTGCTGCGCTGGTGTAGGCAACTCACAAGCTCCCACCACTGTCAGGAGGGTTGTTATCCCCGCAACCCCGTACGTTAAGCTCATCCTGACTGATGTATTGATTGCACCGTTGTTCGGGTTCGTGCCGATGCTTGTCGATCGAAAAGGAGGCGGTCGTCAGGTCCCTTTCCAGAGCTTCGACAGTTCGTTCATCGGCTTTGATGCGTTGCGTTGCTTCCAGGTTCCCCAAAACACAGATGTCCAATGAGCCAGTCCACAGCGCCGCCAACTGCCAAGCCCGCAGCTGCTGCGTTGGAGACAAGTGGATCCCTTGGCACGTGACTCAGACGGCTTCGCCTGCTTCCAGCTTTCTCAGCCCTCCTTTTCCCCAGAAGTATTTAAACCACCCAAACTTTTGAACTTTTCATCAAACAACCACGCCATCAGACCCTGCGGTATCAAGAAAATCGCACTAGACATAAGATACAGACACGATGGCGGCGAACACCGGCTTTTACGATTTGTATCGTCATGGAAGGTACATATTTACTTGCACGAATCCGCCCTCTTGATGGCTGCGCGAGCCCCATCCGCGGATGCGGTGGCGCACCCCAAGGCAGCATAGCAGAGCAAAACAAGCCGTTTCACTGCTGCCCACTTCTTTCCAACACAGATCCATTCTTCATCTCCATATCGTAAAATCAGGAAGTCGAGTTGCTGACATTCCCTGTCGGGATACAGTCTCGGCTTGACGCTGACGGATGCCCTCGACGAACTGATTGGCGATGAAAGTATCGCTCCTCAGCTCGCCATGAAGGTGCTGACTCAGTTCGATCGTGTTGTTGCCGAGACGCTACAAGAAAAGGTTAAGCAGCGCTTGACTTTCAAGGTGAATACCATCTTCTTTCCACATTCCTAACCTGAGGGACGCTGTACACGAACACCCATCTATAACCCTTGCATACACACAACCCTTCTTTGCCTGCCCTCTCACGGCGAGTGGTTAAGAACATGCAAGGCTAACAACGAGGTTACACTCCTCTCACGTTACAGGGCTCCCTCGACACATATCGCTTCTGTGATGAAGTCTGGACCTTCTTGATCCGCAATGTCACCTTCAAGATGGACGGAAACCAAGGATCGGTCGTCGCCGACAAGGTGAAGATTGTGAGCTGCAGCGCGAAGCGCAACGACGACAAGTAAGCGCCGTTCGCCAAGCGACCTGAGCTTTTGTCACATCATGGACTTTCTTTTTTTGCAATGGCAAGCTGGAGTTCGGCATTTGTTTTCGAGGCATATGGGCATAGTATGGGCGTTTTATAGGCGTTTATGGTCAACCTAGAGGTTCTCATATGCGGTTTGCTTTGAGATTACACACCAGCAGAGATCTTATTTATACAGCAGCTCACCAGTCGTCGAGACTTGAGCAAAAAACCATTGGGATAAACAGACATGGGACTGAAGAGGCCCTCATATCACATATCGTTTGTTCTCATGTGTCTCGGCCGGATGGCCTGGGAATCTGTGATGATGAACTGAGCCAATCGGCATTCGTGCCTTGCCCACCACCTTGATTGATAGGGGATGGCCATATATGTTGAATATATACGACATGAAGTTTCTGAACTTGCTCAAAAGCGGGCAAAGAGATTACCAGGTATCTAAGTAAAACAGTCTGCAAATGAAGGTATCATCACACTGAAAAGGCCCCCCTGTTCTCCAGTGGCACGTGCACCACTACAGGGGCCAGAGTTGACATCAATCCAACATCGCGTCAAGAAACACACTCATCTCACAAGTGTAATTGAGAACTCATCAAGCAATTACCATCTCACCTATCACCGCTTCCAAGTCTCAGATTTGCATGACTCGAACTTTGACAACCACTTCCAAAACCAACATTGGGACACCGTTTTCGTGAACAACGAACCTCAGCCAAGACCTCCATCCCACATCCTTGGAAACGGCACAAAACAGGAACCGAGGACTTCTGTGCGTCCCCAAACCGCAGGCCTTTTGTTCCGGGCCATCCGCTACCCCCATTCGATAACGGACGGGGATCAATTGCTCTTTAAAGCCAGCCAGTCGGCCTTCCTTGTTCAGCGCGGCCCGCGTCTGTCCCCACACCACGACGACTCAAGCAATGCCAACGACAAGACAACAGGCGCAGCGCAGGCTTGCTTCTGGGTTGGATGATACAACAACCACCTCCTCGGCTGTGACTTCTTCATCGGATACGAACGTGACATCTCTCAAAAAGAGAGCCCCGCCAAATCAGCCAACGGTTGCAGAGGATGAGAAGGACAAGCGTGGTATGAGCCGGCTATCAGATGAGGAGCGTCCGCTCCTTCCGGAGGGTACAGCCGTTGATGGGGTTGGTGTGCCATCATCGACGGCGAGCTGGACGAAAAGGAACGAGTGGATTGTTTATGCGCTTGCTAGCGGGGCTTGTGCTGCTTTTAATGGTGTTTTTGCCAAGTTGTGAGTGATTCTTTGTCATGTCGAGTGTGTGTCTGGGGCTCAAACTGATGACGATGTTAATCTCTGCAGGACTACGACTGAGTTGACGACTACACTGTCGATGTGGATTGCGCGCCTTGTTGGCCTGGAGAAGGCTGAGGGGATTGTTGAGGTTGGTGTGAGAGGTGTAAGTTCACTCCATTTTATGAATCAAGCCATGTAGCTATGTATCTGACATCTTCAACAGTCCTTCTTCTCCCTCAATCTCGTCTTCAATGGCATCGTAAGTACCGTTTTCACTTATGTGTTCCACATGGCCTGATACTTGCATACCCCCCGCCCTTCTCTTCCCCTTGCCCCTTGCGTCAATGGCGCGCAAATCCATGCATCCACCACCTCAGCTGAGTGGTCCAGCCCTACGAGGCTGCGAATAATACCAATTGTGCCTCTTCACCAACCCCCACCCCTCACCTCCCTCCCACTTACAACACCCTCACTTTCAAGTCGCACTAACTCTTGCCTAGATGTGGACCCTCTTTACAAAAGCCCTCTCAAAGGGTAACTCTACGACTCAAGTCTCAATCATGAACACCTCCTGCAACTTCTTCATCACCGCCATCCTCGGCTTTGCCATTTTCTCTGAGGCGCTCCCGCCATTGTGGTGGATGGGGGCTGCGATGCTTGTGGCGGGGAATGTCATTATTGGGAGCAAGGATGAGGGGGCCAAGGAAGCAGTGATGAGTGATGGTGTAAGTGTGGATGGGATTTCACTGGCGACGCAGGATGATGGGGTTGAGGGGAGGAGGAGGAAGAGTGAGGATGATGAGGAGGAGGATGAGGATGTGTTACAGGATTTAGTTGTGGAGGAGGAGAGGTGAAGGGGGTGTTGGTTGATGTGATACCCATTCTGGCGAATAGATACAAAACATGTAGATTTTATATGTATACAGAACTCTGGATTGTCTCAACCTGATGTTGTCTTGAGATGCTCAACACTCCAACTCCCATTGGATCACCACACCGTCAACCAGCGCCCAGCGGTTATTAGCGGGGCTTCCCACTTACAGGGGTCCAACGATAAGGGAAAGGAAGCTTAATCCGACGTTTAGTGCGGGGCACCAGTTTTTGGCGTGCAGGGAGGCGGGTGAGAATCAATCCAGACAACCCCAATTCAAATCTTTTTTTCTCTTGCGACAACCGCCCTTTTGTGTCGTAGCAGCAGAGTAGGAGCTTTTCACACCCGACCTGCATATACATCTCGAGAAGGGAACGTGGTACAACATCGCGCTGAGGCAGCAGCAAATCAATCAACGCCGCCGGCAATGGTCTTCCACAATGACTGGGAAGGGTTCAGCCCCGCCATCATGGGCAGGGTGATGGACTGTGAGTTTTGTTCCCCCATCCCTAGGTCCCATTCGCTTTGTATGGTGGGCTAATATGTTGTGTTCCCCTCATATTGTAGATGCTGTAGATCTCTGGCACGAACACCGCATCCCTATTTTGCTTTCGACGGCGTTTATCCTTACTTTTTTGAGATTTTACCTCCGGTTGAACGACGCACAATCAGAGCAACAGAAATTGGTGGCTTTGCCGAGGGCGTTGAATAAGGACGAGAAGAAGACGACGACGACGATAACAGAGAAACTTGACAAGGTGGTGGTGAAGAAAGTTTCCAGCTCGGAGGGTTCGTCGGGTGATGATGAGAAGAAAGAGGGGGTAAAGAAGAAGATCGCCGGGCCGCAGGAGGATAAAGGGTGATGCGAGTAAACGGGTGAAGAAGGAAGGGGGAGAAGCGAGGGAAGGATTCAAGTTTTGGTCTTTATTCTCTTGTTTGACGGGGAGCACCGAGAAGATCGCGAAGCAGTTCGCGGGGGCGTTTAAGGAGGCTTTGACAAAGGCAAAAGGGGAGCAAACGACATTCTTGCCGCCGCAGGTGTTGGATCTTTCGGAGGTGGACTATGATGAGTATTTCATCAGTCCGCCAAAGACGGAGGGGGAGGAGAAGGTGGATTACTTTTATTTGATCCTGCTGCCGAGTTTTAATATTGATAGTATCAACGATACCTTCTTGGAGCACCTTCAGGAAACACACCACGACTTCCGGATTGATACCTCGCCGTTGGCGCCGATATTGGGGTATTCGGTGTTTGGGTTTGGGGATAGGGAGGGGTGGCCGACGGAGGAGGAGGGGTATTGTTTCCAGGCGAAGGAGGTGGATAAGTGGATGGCGAAGTTGAGTGGGAGGAAGAGGGCGTATCCGCTGGGGATGGGTGATTGGAAGAGGGACGGGAAGGAGAGATTGGCGGAGTGGAAGAGTGGGTTGGTAGATGTGTTGGGTCAGATTGAGCAGAATGGTGGGCTAGGGGAGGGTATTCCTGGTTCTGGTGATCCGATTGAGAGTGATGATGAGGAACTTGATGATGATGGAGAGGTGTATGATGAGAGCGCTGAGCAAAATGGAAAGTCCAAGAGCTCGGGGGATTTGGGAGATCTGGAGGATCTTGGGCAGATTATGGCGGCGAGCGGCAATACTGGGAAGAAGTCGTCTGGGCCGATCGCGGTCGATTTCACAACCGAAGGCAAGCCAAAAAGGAAGGCTGCTGCCCCGGCCGTCATCAAGGAAATGGTACCGAAGGGTTCACCCACATATAACTCCTTAACGAAGCAAGGCTACGCCATCGTCGGCTCTCACTCGGGTGTCAAGATCTGCCGCTGGACAAAGTCTGCCCTGCGCGGCCGTGGCTCCTGCTACAAGTATTCCTTCTACGGCATCAACTCTCACCAGTGCATGGAAACCACACCATCGCTCTCCTGCTCCAACAAGTGCGTCTTCTGCTGGCGCCACGGCACAAATCCCGTCGGCACCAACTGGCGCTGGGTCGTGGATCCCCCAGATCTCATCTTCAACGGTGTGAAGGAGAATCACTACAAGAAGATCAAAATGATGCGCGGCGTCCCTGGAGTACGAGCAGAGCGCTTCGCTGAGGCCATGCGCATCCGCCATTGCGCCTTGTCACTAGTCGGCGAGCCCATCTTCTACCCTCACATCAACGAGTTCCTCGGTATGCTCCACAAGGAGCGCATCTCCTCCTTCCTTGTGTGCAACGCCCAGCACCCCGATCAACTCGCCGCCCTCCAACACGTCACCCAGTTGTATGTCAGCATCGACGCCTCAAACAAGGAATCCCTCCGCCGCATCGACAGACCCCTCCACCGCGACTTCTGGGAGCGATTCAACCGCTGCCTCGACATCCTCCGCGAACGCCGCTTCCAACAACGGACGGTATTCCGCCTCACCCTCGTCAAGGACTTTAACCTCGAAGACGAAGTGGAAGGCTACGCTGACCTAGTCCAGAAGGGACTCCCTTGCTTTGTCGAAATCAAGGGTGTCACCTACTGCGGAACATCCACCTCGTCCTCGGCAGGTCTGACGATGCAGAATGTGCCCTTTTACAACGAGGTGTGTGACTTTGTGGTAGCGCTAGAAAAGGCGCTGAAGAAGAGGGGGCTGAATTATGGGATTGCGGCGGAACATGCGCACAGTTGCTGCATCTTGCTGGCGAGTGACAGGTTTCAGAAGGAGGGGAAGTGGCATACTAGGATTGATTACGAGAGGTTTTTTGAGCTGCTGGAGGAGAGGGGGCCGGATGGGGAGTTTACGCCGGAGGAGTATATGGGGCCCGAGACGCCGGAGTGGGCCACGTGGGGGAGGGGAGGGTTTGATCCGAGGGATCAGAGGGTTGATAGGAAGGGGAGGCCGGTGGAAGTTTCATAGGGGTTTATAGGAAAGACATGGAGTGTGGGATTCAAAAGGAGTTTTGGGGATTATGTAAAGAATGGACTACTAAAATAGAAAAGTGGGACATTTTCATGATACATACGTGATACAATACACTTGGTACTTGAGGTTTCTTTGTTGGTGATGTGTTGGGTGAGTGAAGGGACTACCTACCTACTTACCTACGTAGCGAAGATCGCAAAGGGTGAAAGGAGGTGATTTGCGTTCTTCGGATTCTTTTTGACCATACCTATGTCTCCCTCTGTTGAAAGCGGTTTTGTGAATATGGCAAGATTGGTGATTGTTTGCAAACATTAGTTTTGGTTGAACAATCTCTTCATGCTGTGTGTGATAGAACCCGCCTCGAGTTTGTTGCTTTAAACCACACGAGCGGAAAACCAAGTGAACAGTGTTAGAAGACTTGTCTCTTCTAAATCAGGTCACCATGCTTCTTTTGCCCAGAGGCTTCACATTCTCCCGCTCTCTTCATCTCAGGGGCATAATCCAGCACAAAACCCAAGCAGCTTCCCCTCATCTCCAACATACGAACCGCGGGACAGCATCACATGCTCCCATCCCGTGTCACAGTAACACACACAACCCTCCCCCCAACAATTTTCTAACTTTTTTATTTTTTTTACTTTAATCACTGGGTGTTGTGTGGTGGTGTTTATCTCATTACAGAACCGATCATAAGCAGAAGCCCTCCCGCCCCAGCAAACCCCTTTCCCTTTTTTCTTTTGGTTTGCCGCCCCAACCCCCAGTTTCCCATACCCCCCCATTGATGAAACCAAGTTTGCCCCTCTTCCCTTCCCCCCCTACCTCCCGGCCCCGCACTACCTTACCCATCATCATCATCCCATGATATTTTGTCTATATGTACAAGCGTCTTTTATACACTCCCCTCTCTTTTTAAACCCAAAAAAAAGAAGGGATAAATCAAATCCGTCTCCCGCCCCTGTGTCTGGATGGGAAAAGAACAAAATCAGAGCAGAGAGAGATTGCCGTTTTCGCCGAGTAGAGTGATATGTTGACTGTGTTTCTTTGCTTGCGCGCCCGTAAAATGACAGTTCCGTTGTCTCGATCGCGATATGCCGAGGTCCTCCCGTTTCTCTCCTGGCTGACTTTTTGCTTTCCCTTCCCGACGCGACAGGTGCTCTCCCATATCCTAGTCCAGCCGTCGTCATCTTGTCCATTTTTTGGGCTCATTATCGTCGTTTCCAGATCGTGTTGGTCTTGTTGTCGGAGAAAAGTGGTTAATCCATGTCCGCTGGGTTGACGCCCATCTCCTCCATCTCGCGCATCAGGGCGGCCATGTCGACGCCGGGGGGACCGGTGTAGTTGGTGCCAATCTTGAGCGCACCGTCGTAGGCGATCATTTCGGCGAGGATGTCGAGGATTGGCTATTGCGAGGGTCAGTAAGACAGTCAAGAGTTGGACTGGAAAGCGAGCATTCTTACCTTGGAGACAGTCTTGTCGTAGATGTTGATCAGGTCACCAGGGGTGGGGTAGACCTTGAGAGCTTTGTAGAAGCCGAGGGCGGCCTCGAGAGCCTTGGAGGGGTCGGCGGCGAGGGTTTCACCGATCTGAACCTGCTCGAGGAAGTAGGCCTCCTTCTCCTCCGAGTTGTCGGGGAAGCCCTCGGCCTTGGCTTCGTCTACGGCGAGGTAGATGGCTTGCTTCTGGGCCTCGGCATCGATGAGGGCCTGCTCCTTTGCGCTGCGAGCCTGGCGGCGGTCGTTGCGGCGCAATTCCCTCCTGAACTCGGCGCTGCTGCGGCGACGGTAGTCGAAGTAGACGGCGTAGGCTGTGAGGAGGGCAGTTAGCTTTTTTTGCGGCCTGGTGCAGGGAGGGATGGGAGGTGGAAGTTGGAACGGGCCGGAACACACCCAAGAGACCAGTAGCAACCGCGGCCACAGCAATGACGGCAGGTCTTGTCGCTGAAGATTCCATTGTAACAGAGGCTTATTATTTATGGTGAGGGGTAGAGGCGGGTTGATAAATAGTGAGCTGGCGAGGTTCTGGCCGAGGGGCGCAACTGGAAACCGAGATCAAGGCGGGGAGAGATCGGGTCGGATGGTAGCTTGAAATGGATGGCTGGATGGGTGGTGGGAAGTGGGAGGTGGGAGCTGAGCTGCAGTCTGCTGAAGGTTCGCAGTGTGCCGCTGGTAATTTTTCATCCCGTTGCCGGCCGAGATCTAGGTTCACTGCCAAGCTCTGTCCACGGGACCCGGGCCAGAGAGTCCAGGCGGGGCGATGACGCTAGCGTAGGTATGTAAAGCGCACGGTCCAAGCGGCTGCATCATCTAGCTCCACTGGTTGAAACGCAGGGGAACGTCGCTGGTGGTTGGAGGGAATCGGCCTTGTGAATTTGAAGCCATCAACAACAGCCTGCGCGCCTGTAGCCAAGGAGGCTGACGCTTGTTGTCTTGTCACAAGCTCGTGTTTCTGTTGAGCAGAACACCGTCGTTTCTCTATTAACTTTGCCTCCGGCTTATCCCTCTGGCTTCTGGCTTTGGCTTGTACTTTTATCCCTTGTTGTTGTGCCAATCGCCCACCATGTCTGAAGATCGGGATAGGCTCAAGATATCGCTGCGAAGCGGCGGAAAGAGGAAGAACAAGGCAGCCCCCATCAAGATCTCCGGGCCAATCTTGCAGCAAAATGATGCGAGCTCTCAGAGGTCCGGGTCCCGGTCCATCGCGGAAGAGGCCCCGCCTGCTCGGCCCCGACCCCCGCCGCAGAGCAGTGGAAAGGTGAGTTCGCAGCCGCTTTGGTACTACATTTCTGTGCTCCCTGACTGACAGCCTGCTTGGAAAATAAGACGTCCGATCTTGTAAAACGGAGATACTCGACCCGCTTCAACCAACTCCCCACCGATTTCGATCCAACCGCCAACCCGATGCCAGCTCTTAGCAACCTCGACCAGTATGTTCAAGCCCAGGCTCAAGACCGCCGGCCCCCACCGTCTAGAGGAGGTGAGAGTGGTCGAAAGGTTGGAGCTACACCCGAAGTCGATGTCAGGGCTCTTCGAGATCCGAACCTTGTTGTCGAGAACTATGTCGCCGAGATCCTTAGTGAGGCCACCGAGGACGAGATTCGCGAGTATGAGATTGCTTTGCGCCAGCTGAAGAGCCGCGCCTCGATTGACTTGCAGCAAAATGTCTACCAGAACCGCACACAGTTCATCAAAATCAGCAAGGAGGCCGAGAAGCTCAAGGGCGAGATGCGCACTCTCAAGAACCTGATGTCGGAGTTAAAGACCAACACCACAGCACTTCGCTCGGCTTCCAACAGTACCGAACCCGTTAGCTTCAACAATGAGATACCTTCAGGGCTCAGCAAGCGGGACAAGCGCAGCTCTGTCGCTGATCGAACGGCACTCTGGAGCGCGCAGATGCAAGCGCTCTACAAGAACGTAGAAGGCTCTCAGAAATTTCTACCAAACGTCCCTGGTCGTCATGTTGTTCAAAATGCAGGTCCGTGGGTAGAGCTCGATAATGCGACCTACAAATCTAGACGGTCTATGCAAATATTCCTCCTGAACGACCACCTACTAATCGCGTCTCGCAAGAAGCGGAAGACGGATGGACCTGGGGGGGCTGATGGGAGGGGTCCAATGACGAAGCTGGTGGCTGACCGGTGCTCGCATTTGTTGGACGTGGAGGTGGTGGATATGGCTGGGACAGGCGATTCGTCAGCTGGTAGGAACAAGTTGGCTGATGCCATCATGGTTCGCGGCGGTGGAGGAAACGAGTCTTTTATTTACCGGACAGAGAAACCGGAAGATCCTGAAAAGGGAACGCTGATTCTCAACATTCGCAAGACTGTGGAGGAATTGCGCAGGAACCTCCAGTCTGAAAGAGAAGCCACCAACAAGGCCAAGGAGACCATCAACTATTTTGCGTCGCGCGATCCTGGTCTCTTGCAAAAGACTGAGCTGCTCGAGACGCTGTCCGATATCAAGGATATGCTCATTGAGGTGGATGGGAAGCAGCAGAACCTTCGCTGGGTCGAGAGCGAGATGGATGAGCTGGATATCAATATCGCTCTCCAGCAGATTGAACTGGCAGTCGCCCGCATCGAAAAGTTGAAGAGCTTAGCGTTGGGTCTACGTAAGAACGCCATTGCGCATGACTTTATTACCTTCAAAGTTGAGGAGAGGTGTGCCAAGCTGGCGGCCTTGATTGCCCGTGAGCTCACTTCCACGCATCACCACCAGCGGAAGACCAAGCAGAATGTTTCTTGGTTAACGCGCCTCGGTTTTGAAGACCGTGCCAGAGAGGCGTATCTGGAGGCCCGCAGTGAGATAATCCAAAAGCGATCTAGGTAAGTCGATTTTAATGGAGAGAAATGTTTGGATTACGCAGCTAATCATGACACAGACAATGCATCTTCAAGGGCGACTTGCATCTGTACATCTGGGAGATCTCATTTGTTTATTTCACCATCATACGAAACACCGTCAGCTGTTTCCAGGCGTGTTTCCCGCCTCCCATGATGAGCGCATGTGTCAAGTGGGCCAAGGAGGAAGTGGATGCCTTCAACGGAATCCTTGCTCGGCAGCTCAGCAGTACCGAAGAAGGCGACGAGGTGTGGGTTCAATGCATGGATCGGGCAAAGGAACATTCCGACATGCTGTCTGAGGTTGGCCTGGATTTTCGCAATCTAGTCGGACAGAATGTCAAGACCGGGGCCGAGAGTGGCTCTAACGGGCCGGTTGGCTTGGGCTTGTCTTAAGCCTAATAGGTGTATGGGGGATTTGTTTATCTCCTGAGGTGTGTTTGGGGGGTTTTTGGTGTGGTTGTAGTGGTAATGAAAAATAATGTAGACTTATTATTGTGAGATAAAATGGGTTTGGAACAAGAAAGATACACAAACATACAATCAGGGCAATATATACAAGGCTGAGTGAGCTGCCTGTCAAGCAATGAATAATGCACCGTGATTGGCTAGACGACTCACCGCCTTGCTGGGAATAAGGAGGTGGGGCAAGTCCAGGAATGCTCACCTAACATCCCACCTCCAACCCGCGTTGGGCCTTGCAGCTGGTGGCAGCCCAGAGCTGACAAGCGCCCTCTCCGCAATTTCCACAGCACAGCACCTCTCTCTTTTGCGCGGAACAACTTCACGATTGCCCGCTGATATACCCTCTGTACCGTTCTCCCCCACTTTGTGTTGTTATTAACGGTGTAAGCGACGTGTTTTTGGCCGACCCCCGAGCTGCGTGCCATTTGATTCTTTGTTGGAGAAGCCTCAACTGCGACTTGCCACCAGCTCTCTCCTACCTACCCACCACCACCTGCCCAATTTTGAGCCCAGCAGAGAGGAGAGCAAGCCGCGCCGCGCCTGTGGACTCGCAACCTAACGTCATTGCGTTGCTACCTCCAGTTCTCTCTCGCGAACCACACTGCCCCCAGCATTCCCAGCACTCCCAGCATTCCCGCACTGCAATTAGCATCATCACCATTCTGTTGTCGAGCACACCCACTACCATCGACACCGTCTTCTAGAGTTTACAGAGCAATCGTCATAATGGATACGACCATGGAGGATGTCGGGCGCGCTCCCACCGACCTGCCACCCGTCCAGGTTCAGGAAACCACCATCCCTACTCTGGATGGTTGGATCGAGAGCCTGATGGCCTGCAAGCAGCTGACCGAGTCGGATGTGCACAGATTGTGCGAGAAGGTCCGTTGGATTGTTTTCTCTACCTCTGCTGCCCCCTCCCCCTTTCTGTCGCCGCGCGCGCCGACCATGGCCCCTCCCCGCCTTGGCTACCGACCTTGCAGCCTACCACCATCTGCCAAAGGAGCCTGTGGTCGCGTGCACATGTCGATACACCTTGATGGCCACACCACACAATGACGATGAAATAGTCGCTGACGGTCTGACGGTTTTAGGCACGTGAGGTTCTCCAGGGAGAATCCAACGTACAACCTGTCGTATGTATATCCGATCTACCCCTAAAGTTTCCCGCCATCACATCTGTAGCGTTCAAGGCTTATGTTTTGTTTGGATGGATAGAAATGCCCCGTCACGGTGTGCGGTGACATCCACGGCCAGTTTCACGATCTTATGGAGTTGTTCAAGATTGGCGGTCCCAACCCCGACACCAATTATCTCTTCATGGGTATGGCACCCTCGACCCTCGCTTCGCAATGCCTCGGCAGGCGACCATGACAGTCCTGATTCTAACACATCTGGTTGTCTACAGGAGACTATGTCGACAGAGGTTACTACTCGGTCGAGACGGTCACCCTCCTCGTCGCGCTCAAGATTAGATACCCCAAACGAATTACCATCCTCCGAGGCAACCACGAGTCGCGCCAGATCACCCAGGTCTACGGCTTCTACGACGAGTGCCTTCGCAAGTACGGTAATGCTAATGTCTGGAAGTACTTTACCGATCTCTTCGATTATCTCCCCCTCACCGCTCTCATCGATAACCAGATCTTCTGTCTGCACGGCGGTCTTTCGCCTAGTATCGATACCCTCGATAACATCAAAGCTCTCGATCGGATTCAAGAAGTGCCTCATGAGGGCCCCATGTGCGATCTCCTTTGGTCGGACCCTGATGACCGCTGCGGCTGGGGTATTTCCCCCCGTGGCGCCGGGTATACGTTCGGCCAGGATATCTCGGAGGCTTTCAACCACAACAACGGCTTGACGCTGATTGCCCGCGCGCATCAGCTTGTGATGGAAGGTTACAACTGGTCACAAGACCGAAATGTTGTCACAATCTTCTCTGGTAGGTTTCGTTTGGGCTGCTCTCGGTTTGGTTGGGGAATGACAGGTTACTAATATGCCACAGCGCCCAATTACTGCTACAGATGTGGTAACCAAGCTGCGATAATGGAGATTGACGAACACTTGAAATACACATTGTATGTGCTCTTGCAGAGCAAGTTTGAGTGGAGAGCAACACTAACACTTCACAGCTTGCAATTTGATCCCTGCCCTCGGGCCGGTGAGCCTATGGTCTCTCGCCGTAAGGAACCCCTTTGACCTCAATCTTGAACCATGCTAATGACGGCACGCAGGGACTCCGGATTACTTCCTTTGATCAGCTGACCTAGACTTGGAGCATCGCAGTTCCCTCTGCGGTGATTGCATACTAATAAGGGAGGCAAAGCGTCTATTGATACAATTCCATGGTTCACTTGTCAGAATACCCGTCGAGGTCGGAGAGCGAAAAGCGAGGATCACTTGGAGGCGGCTGACAGACTACAATGCCCATTGTATCAACTGCAAGATGGTCCGACTTGTCTCTTGAGCACAAGGAAAAACAGGCACATGTTTCAGTTTCACATCCGGTGGTCACGGTAGCGAAGTGACTTGAATAGGTGCATCCCATCTTCACATCTCGTTTGCAGCACTTAGAAGAACGGGATTAGACTAGGCTGGCCAGGTGAATGGGCATTTTTTTCTCAACCTTGGGACTTTGGCTTTTGCAGTGAAAAGTGATGAAAGATGTTTGTGAGGAAACGAAGACGAGGAATCTCGAAAAGAGAATGGGGCTAGGCGTATATGGTATGTTTATCCAGAATGAAACAAAGCTGATAACCCAACTGACGGAAGTTATTACAGGGCGATAAACAGGCAAAAGTCTCTCTCGTGTTTGATCAAAGATATAGGATGAGTACAGCTAGTTTGAAATAACCCGGCGATATTGCTGAAGGCCTCCAGGACATGCACATGGGCTTGAATAACAGCAGTTCAAGCATCAACACCATATCCAGGGGTCTTTCTGATAACGGGATTGCCTGATGGAAGTTTGACAGTCCTAGGGAAATCACCATGAGAACATCCGCATTGAGGGTTTGTGGAGGAAGAGGGGGAAGTGGAAGAGGATCTTTGATAGGTATGGAAGGCGTGCTGGATAACACGGAAGGTACAGATCAAGGTTTTCAGCGAAATATGAACTTGGGAGGGAGTTGCTCTTCATCCTCATCTTGGCCAAAGTCGCAACCTTGACTTCCATTTCCAGCAGGACAGCGCGCGGTCTTTTCAAACCCGGCGGTCCGGTTACTCTGGGCAACGAGCGATGTAGCTGATGAACAACACCGACGCCAGCCGCAGCTTCTCGCTGGCCGAGGCTTTCTCATGCCGTCTGCAGCCTCGGGTTCGATCCGTCCGAAGTCAAATCATACCACAAACACCAGACCGTTATGCGAACAGAGGACCGCGCGAGACCTAACTCGAGACCGGTCGTGCTAATTGGGAGCCCGAGATACTGGTATGAAGACACGGTATCGTCACGCCTCGTCAACACCACCGTTGGCAAGCTTCCTCTTGCTCCCTCAATACTCTTTTCAGCAAAACAAAATGAGCTCTTCTGGACGGATTGCTAACCATGATTAGGGCAAGCCTTTCTGTTTCCGGGAGAGCTAAGACCGGCTAACATGAAACCGAGCGGTCGGTTCCTCTGCAATGAGTGTCTGAACACTGAAGGAGGCCTATCTCTCAAGAAAGGTCCCTGGGTCAACCTGACCCGCTAAACAAGCCTGAACCCAGAGCATTTTCGAACGCAACCGCCGGGATAGTAGCATCCGACGGGGAGAGCAACGATGGATGTCAACAAACAAGCAAAGAAGCGCCGCCGATCGCCGCTACGGCCTGCTTCTTATACCTTGACAGTGTCCCCAGCCCTCTAGTTTCCTGCTGCTCGGTTACAGGTTTTTGTTGTTGGGTTTTCTAGCTGCATTGTTCGCTCCTTTATTTTCTTTTCGTGCTGAAGGTTTCGTGGTTCGGGCGTGCAGGAGAAGAAGAGGTTGACGTGTTGGTTCCTTCACCCTCTGTTTTGAGGCGGGGACGAACGCAATCTGCATCTCGGGTCAGAGATCGAGGCGTGGGCGCCCGGTGAGTTGAAATCCGTCTACCGATTCGAGACCCGTTCTTTCCCTCTTACTCTTTCATTCTTCCTCTTTTCTGATTCTGGGTTCTCTCGCATCTTGGCGATTTATTTTGAGCCGTGTTGATCGTCCCTACAAGTTCATATATACATTGGGACAGAGAGCTTGGCGAGTTTCTAGGTAATTCGGTTCCCCGAGGCCAATCGTTCGTTCAGTGGTGCTGCTTTCTTACTGCTTTCTTACTGCTTTCTTATTGTTTTTTTTTATTTGGATGATATCAAAGTCCTGAGTGGACTAGATACGGTGAAGGAGGGCAGGAATGTCCAATTCTACTTATGCCGCGCCGACGGCGCCGTCAACTGCACCGGCTGCACCGGCTGCTACAGGGGCGGGAGCGGTATGTTGCTTCCTGTCTTGATCGGGTATTCTCACATCAACTTATCTCTTTTCTAGCCCCGAATCGCAGGCAATGGCCCCTTCCCACCCCCCACCGCCGCCTCGGGCGGTGTCCCCGGCCTCACTCCCGACATCCCCATCTGCGCCATCTTCCTCGCCCTCTTCGTAGCAGGCGCGGCAACAAACATGACCATCTTCCAGCGCAACCGTCGGAGATCGTACAAGTTCTTTTTCTCGGTCCTGCTCTTCGGTTTCTGCATGGCGCGTATCGTCGCCCTATCCATGAGAATAGTCTGGGCGTCCAAACCGAGGGACGTCAACGTTGCGATTGCCTCGCAAATCTTCACCGCGGCTGGGGTGCTCATCTTGTTCATCACCAACCTGATTTTTGCGCAAAGAATCATCCGGGCCTATCATCCCTTTTTTGGCTGGAGTAAGAGCATCACCTGGCTGTTTAGGGTCCTGTTTGGGAGTCTGATTGCGTTGCTCGTCATGGTTATCAGCGTGACGGTCCAGAGCTTTTTCACGCAGGACCCGGGGGTGAGGATGATTGATCGGAACATTCAGCTCTTTTGCGCGACGTACCTGGCCGTCTTTGCGTTTTTGCCGATCCCGTTGGTGACGCTGGCGGCGGTTGTACCGAGACGGACCAAGATTGACAAGTTTGGGGAGGGGCACTTCCGGACAAAGTTTGCGCTTTTGACGTTTACTGCTTTGTTGCTGGCGGCGGGGGCCATCTTCAGGGCGGTGATTGCGTATTATCCTAGGCCGGTGAACAACCCGGCTTGGTATCACGGCAAGGCGCCGTATTATTGTTTTAATTTTGGGATTGAGCTGGTGGTGGTGTATGTCTATGCGGTCTCGCGGTTTGACAAGAGGTTTCACATTCCGGACGGGTCGTCGGCGCCGGGGCATTATTCTTGTTCGGATTACGGGCCGAGGCGGAGCGCGGTTGCGGCGGCGGTGGCGGCGGCGGATTTTGAGAAGAGGAGCAGTTATGCGTATGGGAAGATGGCGAGCAGTGTGGAGGAGGGGAGTGCAAGTGTTTGGACGGGGTCGAGGTATTCGACTATTAAGAAGGGGAGTGGGAGCTCAAAGTCGTTGCCGAGTAGTTTGGGGAGGCCGAGTGTGACTGCTCGACCGAGCAGCAGTCGGGGCCCGGGGGGGTTGAGCAGCAGTGGGAGGAGTTTGAAGAGTGTGAGGTCACTTTATTCGCCGGCTGCTACGGATGAGAATGCTGTGGTGTCGGGTGAGATGGATGGGGGGTCGTCGGAGGCGACGAGGGCGGAGGATTTGGCCTGGATGGCGAGGGCAATGGTAGGCTTTCATTCCCATGAGTTTGGCGTTGATCCCTTGTCCCCTTATGATGAGATTCTGAGGCTGGACCGGCCGTTGCCCCCGCTGCCTCCTGCCCCTCCGCCGAGAGAGTACCCGCCGCTGCTGCCGCCTACGGAGGTGTTGGGGCCGGACCTGGCGTATGGGTATGTGCAGGTTGCGGGTGGTGGTGGTGGTATTATGGGGGCGATCAGTGAGGGGACTGAGGCGGAGGAGGAGGAGGAGGAGGAGGAGCGGTATCATCATCCAGAATGAGGGCTTCTTGGGGACATGAAGAAATGAGAACATGATTTGCTGATTACTGTGTCTTTGTTTTTAGCGCGAGATGTACGGTGAGACTGGAGAGGAGGATCATGGGTCGAAGAGCAGTCATGGGTAGAGAGGGATCCAGGGTGGGACATTTCCTTTCTGTCGGGCTGATTTTGGAATAACCTGGGATTAAGGATACCAAGGGCCTGAAACTCAACACAGGAAGCATGGGACTAGGAGTTTGTGATGTTTTGCTGTTTTTGTGGTAATATCGTACCGTGGAGTTACTAAATCTAGGTAGTAATAGAAAAGCAGATTGTGGAATTCTCCTTGTTCTTTCGGCGATTGTCTCGATGTGAACTGATTGCAATATGAGACCGAGCAGGAGGAGTGTGGTGTAGAAGTGGGGCTCTCATTTCCACCTCGCCAACACAATAAGTAGGCAACAAACACAGACAGTAGTTAGGTAGCGGGAAAAGGCGGTCTACCTTGCTCTTATTTTCGAGTTCATTGACTGCCACAGCCTCCGCGGCTAGTTTGTCTTGGACACACCTGAGGGGAGGCTACACCTTGGCAGTGTCTAGGCCGGTGGCTTGGATGAGGTGGCAGGCGAGCATATGTACATCACCCAGGATAACTGATATCTTCATCGACATCTAGGTCTTGGTTGCCTTCACTTCCCTCAACCAACTTTATTTTGAAGATTGACATTCTCGCCTTTCTTTCCATGTCCTCTATTCTCTCATCCGCCTTCAATCTGCTAACATCATGTCATCGTCGACAAGGATCCAGCTTCGTATCAGATGGTGGAAGCCATCATCCTGAGGATGATGAGTGGGTCGGTTACTGTGTCCCTCCACGATGCCGACTCTGCACATTCCCGATTGAGGATGAAGAGATGATGGTTGCTTCAGGTAGGTGAGCAGCAGCCTGAAAATGAAGGCAACAACAGTGAACACATCGCTAACACCTATACCAGCTCCTGGAAGCTCCCGAGTATCTCGTCCGTTTGTAAACGAGATAACCAACATCGTGCACGAGGTGTCCAGGTGACCGGGCAGAGGGAACTGAGGGAGGAGTTTAGACCCTGTTTTAGTCTGAGTTGTACTCATGACCAGGCTAACCTAAGAGGCGCGGCAAATGGTTATCATGCGGGATGTTTTGACTATGCTGGCCAGTCGTTCGGTCATAAAGGCAAGACTTGCCCATCGCCTGAGTCTTTCAGGGCTGTGGAGTTCTCGTTCGAGACAACGTCGTCTTATGACTTGAGACGACCAAAGAAGATGGAGGAGGTCATTGCGAGAAAGATTGATATTATTTGGGGCTTTCTGCCATATGAGATTTGTCTCATGATTGGCCCGTATCTAGTTCGGGAATATTCTATCGGCAGACTTCACGCGCTATGGCCTAGCAGTCGCCGGGCTGTAAGTGCCAATCAGCAATTGGAGACCTCGAGGACGATCTGGGCTCGGTATATTGATATTGGGGGTGTTGAGTATGTCTATAATCTGTCGAACAAGAAAGAGGAGCATCATCGCAAATTGTTTGATCCAGCCATGACGTCTGATGCTGATGCTCTGTGCGTGTTGGAAGATCAACTTGGGGTTAGAAACTTGGTGTTTCCTAACTCCAAAGAGAAACAATTGCAGTCATCATCAACATCTATACATGCAAAAGAAGGGGCATGGTGGAGGGTTTTATCGCCATTCCCTCCGACACTGGCGATAGAGTATGATGTATGGTGTTTATTCCTCCAGTCTACTGTTGAACTAAGACCATGCTGACAGTTTCCAATAACAAAAAGGGCCTCAAAGTTCGAAGAATTCGCACGGCTTCTTCGTCCAGCATTACACATGATCTTTGGCCGGTGCCCATCCATCTCGAGGAGATCGCTTCGCTTAAGATCCATAACTTGACTGAACCCAAATCCGACAGGCCACAAGAGGAGATTGTCCGGATACTTCCTTCCCAAATCAACGGACCAGATGTTAATGGGTACTCCTTCAGCTGGTCAGGCGAATTTATCTTCCTTCACAAGCATCACAAGGGGGAAGATGTCCCAGTCAATATGTACAGGGAATGCGGACAAATGTTTGACTTTCCTGTCTGAACTCATGTTCCATTCGACCCCGACGAATTTATCACCAGCATTTGGATGCCATATTCCTGTGATAAGATCGACTCTTGTCTCTGGGTAAGGTGATCCAATCCTACCCTCTCCCCCGGTACGTCTAGCGTCTACGTACTAACTACAATCCAATACTCAAGATCCAAACCAGGAAAGAAATAGATTATATCATCGGACCACCTATGACCACCAACACTCAAATAAATTGGTCGAGAATTGTCGGCCCACTCAATGAAAATCGCCCAGTCCACGCCTACTTCGCCCTCTCCCGCACCGGCATAAAACACCTCGCCACACCAAAATCCAGCACGCCAACCCACGGCCCTTGGATCCCACCGCCAACTTCCCTACTCAACGGCATTCATCCGGATGACCCCGAAAACGAATTCTCTCACTGACTTGGAAACGGCACGGCCTTTGCCAACCTTGCAGAGGTAATCCCCTACCGATTCCCGCCAGGCCCTACCTGTGACCCATTGGACTCCCAAATCCAAGGCCTCGGTCTGGCCTACCTCGACGGCAGAAGAGCTCACGTCGGCCAAACCCGTCTTGATCTTGCTACAACACCGACTCATGTCCGGAATGTGAGCTCTGTTCACCTCGCTGTTCACAAGAGAACAGACGTGCTAGGTCTGCTACGTGACTGATCTTTGGGTCGCTCCCCCCTCTCTGGATGAGAGGGAATCTGCCTGGCGATGGATCGATATCGATCTTTCGAATGAGGAGGAGAAGCTGACGTGGTTATACTGTGGGTATGGGAATGAGTTGGGGTATGGGGAGCAGGGTACTTGGGATGTAGAGTGAGAATGGCGAGTAGGGCAAGGCTGGCTGGGCATCAGATACTCAAGAACAGTATAAATAAGGGGAACGCGCCCGTTGTTCCTTGAATAGAGTGTTGACCATCCTGAACCCAACTCTCCACATTCCTGATAACGCCAAATTTCTACTACTTCTGTCACCTACGACCATACCTGGCAGAAAGCTCGGGATCCCGTCCGCTCTCCCCTAGATAAGCTGCCAAGGGCCGGATCAGTACTCAGGTGGGTGACCACTGGGGAATCCCCGGTGTTGTATGTTTTTTTGGAAGTATTTTATTTTATAACTCCATCACCAGCTGCGAGCAGGTGTTTTGCTGGTGGATTTATCTTGCGAAACGATTGGCGGATAGAAGTGGAGCAAGAATTTGCAACGGACGCTTCTTCCCATTCGTTGATATCTCGAACATTTGTTTCTCTATATCTACGAAATAAAATGATCAAACATCATTCACAAACATGAGGCCTATACAAGCACAGACCCCAGTTGGGGTGCGGCGTACACATCATGTCCTATATCGCGGCAGAACCTTGTGTCGCTTTCAGCATACCCAGGCATCCGAGCCAAACTCCAACAAACTCCCACCAGTCGAACGTCCGCCACAGGCACTGGGTGACGTGGTTTGGGGGTTGAGGGCTGACAAGTACGAGATAACACAGGTTTCCACGTGGAAACCAAGAGGGCCAGTATGCCGGACATACCAAGCGATAAAGTGGGTGGAGGGCCTAAAAGAAACGTTTGTTCTTAAAGAAGTACGAAGGTACTCGCAAGTCAGGCACTTGCTTGGAGCATCTCAGATGCTTCAACAGCACCCGAACTTGCAGACTTTGTACGACGTCGCCAGTGACGAGCAGCTTCTGATATATCGCACCCTTCCGTATAATGTCAACGGTCTAATCCGCGAGCATCCTGGGCTACCATACGAAACACGCAAGGAAATCCTCAAACGTGCTCTGACTGGCCTGGCGGCGCTTCACAACACAGATCTCGCCCATCTTAGTACGTTCTGCCGTCTCTAGAGCCACGATCCAAGGCTGACCAAAAAATGCAGATATCAGACCAAGTGCCATTCTTGTCGACTACGGTCCAAAGTTGGGATCCAGTCCATCCAATGGCGTCCACAAGGTCCAGCTCGGTCGCTTTGAGGACGCCGTCTTACCCTACCTTTCTAAGCAGCGTATCGATCATTATCGCCTCGGCATCGAAGATTTGCCCTGGAAGAGTCCCGAGTTTTGGATCCGAGGTCGCCAAGCCAGGCCATCTGACGTGTTTTCATTTGGCCTCACGTCTGTCAACTTTATGCTCAACAACCTCAACCTCAAGTGTGCCGACACCGGATTCCCACAGAAGAGACTCGCGGCGTTGGGCGGACTCGCCAGCGGTGTCCCGACACAGAAACAACTGGCCAAACTCGAGATATGGTTCAACCATTTCGGAGATGCGGATGCGTTGATGGGGCTGCTCGAACAAGTCAAAGACGAACCTAACCAGTGGTACGGCCCCCTCAACAAACTCGTCAAAGAAACGACCTTTGGTCTTCGGAAGCCTTTGCCCGGGCTGGAGAATCACGTCGACCTTGGGTTTGTGGACGTGGTCACCAAGATGACTCATCTGGATCCAAGCAAGAGAATCACGGCACGCGAGGCCTTGGAGCACGAGTGGTTTGCAAACATCGAGGTGGGACCCGAGCACATGTGGTACTCACCCTTCAAGCCGCGCAAAAATCAGCCAAACGCCCGGCAGTCGTTTGATGATATTCAAACTGAGAGCGGGATACCTATTCGAAAGATCCCGCATTTTTATCCACAGGACGTCACCCGTGAGGCCACCACACCGCGTGGCCCGGAGGTCGTCCAAAAAGAACAAGATGAAGCACTAGTGTCAAGAATCCCCCAAGAAGAACAAGACGAGCTACCCGTTTCAGAATCAGGGGTCGTTCTCGAGGATGAGGACAAGCCCCCGGTTCCGAAACCCGTCCCGGCAATCAGAAACCTCATCCGAAAAGTCTACGTCCCTCTCACCGAGTCTACATTGAAGGCCTATCGGCAGTATGATGGGAACAGCACGCTTGACCCAGACGCGTTGGAGAAAAGGTCTTTCCAAGTGGAAAAGCTTGAACCGAGAACTCCTAAACCAGAGAAAGACTCCAAGAGGTTTTAATTCAACCATCAGGATCTGGCACTGAAGTCCAACCCGGAATACACAGTTATAACAGCACGTCAGCATCTGACACTTCGAGTAAAGGAAGCGAATTTCTTCGTCAAAATCAAAGAACATCAACATGAACCCCTTCCCGTCAATGACTCCCTTTAACCGGCACAAATCAGATCACTCCCACGTCATCCCCAGCCTCTGCAAGTAACTCATCAGCGAACCCTTGGGTACGTATCCTCCATAGGTACTCTGAAACCAAGCCGCCCAGCTCCCCTCCACCGGACCCTCGGCGCTGAAACCAAGCAGCACCAGCACCCGTGGAGCAAGACGGACCAAAACCCCAAATGTCACCAATGACAGGAGCACCGTAGCAGCGATTTCGTAGGGGTGGCCCTTGACATACTCGACGAGGTCATTGAAGAGCTCCTCGGCGATGGTGATGGAGGTGTCGTAGGCTTGGGAGAGGGCCTCGCCCCAGGACTTGCGGGACTCGGGATCGGTGGCGGTGGCGAGGAGGTCGGAGAGGGCATGGAGGATCTTTTCGGCGAGGTATTCGGACCAGGAGGTGGTGTGGAGGTCGAGGGTGGTGCCGATTCGGGATTGGGAGGCGGAGGGGGTGATGGGGAGGGGTGTGGTGAGGAGGAGGGTGAGGATGTCGTTGATCAAAGGGGAGGGGGAAAGAGAGGGGGGTATGGGTTGGGGTTTGGGTTGGTCGGTGTATGGGGTGCTGGAGGGGTAGAGGGGGGATTTCTCGTCGTGGTGGGATGGATGGTCGTCTGAGGTGGGGCCGCAGAGGCAGGAGAGGATGTTGGGGAAGGCCATTGTAAGGTGGATGAAAGTTGGTGTTTTGCGATAGAAGATGTTGATAGATGTGATATCTCCAGTGGATGTCAAACTGGGAGCATGGGATGAGGAAGCTTTCATAAACTGGAGGAAGACTGGGAACAATTGCGGTTTTGAGGACATGATGAGGCTCAGGTCGGTGGTCGCACAAAGGAGGGGCTGCGGGCCTCGGTGCATGAGGACTGCACATGCAGATGCACGGTATGTGGACGTCCTATTTAACTGTCAGCCTTGATTATCCCTTTGTCTTTGGCCAATTCTGTCAAAGGAAGACCTAGGATTGACTCAGGATTGTGGCTGGACTTAGCACGGCGGTTAGGTGCATGCGGTTTCAGGTGGCACGACAAGCTGTAGGACTGGTGAACAGTTGAAGGAGCTATCTGAGCTCAGCCTCAGTTAAACCACAACAAGTCTGCCTTGACAGCATGGTGAGTGAGTTCAGCTGGGTCTTGGATATGGCCAGCGTTTAGCTATCTTCGACTTCCTACACAGGCCGAATCGGTGAACATGTCACAAACAATTGTTGCTTTAGTGTGTTACCACTCATCCAAATTTCTGTCAAGGAACTGCTTATTGTATAGTTGTGATTGTAGGTAGGAAGTTAACAAGTGAGTAACTTGGGAGACAATGAAACACATTGAAATCAGGGTCGCCTGCCATCTAGTTAAGGTAAGCTGGTATGCCACAGTCTTGTATGGTTTCTGTGATTCACCTCAGCTTTTCCCTATTGAATCGCGACCATTACTCTTCCACCATCCAAACATGTGACTGGTAGACTCCCAGCACCAGTTCGCTCATAAATCTTAAGCTTCCCGTGTCCTGGGTGCATGAAGCTGCCCCCCGTCTCACGCAGTATCAAAACATAACAAAGCTGCTTTCTCCCATTCCTCTCGTCAAAGTGCTTCTGCCTTCCCAAAACCACACACTTGTGTGGCAGATGTGGGCTTGATTGTCCAGGACAATCCAAGATGATATTTCCCTCTCCACACCGATTACCATCATCTTGTACCTTGGTCACCAGAGTGACATCATTGCCCCTTGGTCTCCTCTCAGACTGTTGGCGATGCCTCGTCCTAAACCAGGGTGATTCAACCCATTCCCACTCCACACTATCAAACACGACATTCACATACTTGATCCCGCCCTCGTACTTCATCCACGACCACGACGGCACCGCAGAGATGGCCGTGTCTGGGGGAAAGATGATGGGTATCAACTTTTCTGTGTTGGTGCTGATGCCATCATCGGAACCATCATCCCGCTGCCACAGTAGACTACGCCGCAAAAGACCCAAAGACTTGCCCTCGTCAAAGATACCGAACCTGCCCTTGGCCTTGAGGGCTCGTAAGATTCGAGACTGGAGGCTGTCGATGGCTGCTGGGCGGTCAAAGCTGTTGGTCAGCCCTAGACGTGAGTAGACCTTGAAAAGGTCTTGGCAGTGTAGGATCTTTTCGCCTTGGTCAACATTCATTAAGGAGGTACGGAAACTTGGGATCGCCCAGGAAGGCTGCCCGGGTGCTGATAACAGTATCGGTTAGCCTCTATCATGAGATCCCTCCCTCAAATGGCTGCTGAGTGATACTTACTTATTCATCCTTGTGCCCGTCTCGCGCCTAACCCTTCTCCGCATTCCCAATACGTCTGAGCCTCCGTAAAGAACACCGTTCTCCTCGCCAAAGCGTGTTCCTGCGACACCCACCCCCGACTCCTGAGCGGCCCTTGAAGAACATGCTTCCCAAAATCATCTATTGCTTCCGCAATGTGAAACTGGCCTCCACCTCCACCTTCAAACGTCACCACTTCCCTTCTCTTTCTCTCCGCTAGAAACCCAGCCCCGTGTCCCTCGCCCGCGCTGAGGCCCAGAACACAGTATGCCCCAGAGTAATACTGCTCCATGTTTTTCATCTCCTTGTTGAAGTCTCCTGGGTCATCCTCCTCCTTCTGAACGACAAAAATGGAGTCAATCCAGAGGTACTGGCACCCAAGGGCACGTGTCACTTTTACCGCGTCGGCAAATGTGGCAGGGAGCGAAGACAGGGGGATGCCCTTCAGGTGAGAGGCAAGGTTGGACTTGACGGTGCAGGGTTTGGCGCCCCATTGGTGCGAGACTGCTATCCAGCGTCCGGTCGATCCTCGGGCTGTTTCCACTGGGCGGACATCAGCAGAGCCAGGAGGGCTTACGTCGATGACGCGCGTGGGAAGTAGTTGTGATCGAGTGGCTGATATGGGCTTATGTGAATCAGTTGTCATACAGCCGTGATTCTCGTCGCAGTCTGCGAGCCACTGTCGGATGACTTCGAAATGAGCATCACTATTGAGGGGCGGTAGCCGCACAAGTCCGACTTGTATCTCACTGTTTTCATTTTCTGATGGGAGACTGAAAGAGGGTGTTACGGATATGGAAAGAGCAGGTCCGCCGGAGGAGTTGATGTGTATGTAGGAGCCTTTGCGATCAAAGCGGGCGGTAGTTGGCGGAGGCCGTGCCGTTTGCTGGCATGCCGCCCAGAGCAACGCGCATAGGTTACACTTCGCTTGCTCGGCGGAATATCTGAGTGTTCCTAGGTTGTATTCCTCGCTGAAAACTGGTTCACGGAGTAGTCTTTCAGAGCATTGACATGTTCCACAGAGTTTGCGGGTTGGTTCGGCTCTGAGTGACGATGGATCCGGGTAGCGACGGTAGATGTCAAACAAGACGGCGGCGAGCTTGTTATCCACACTGCGCTTCCAAAATTCATCGAATTGTGGACTGCCATAGTCGACACGTTCTGGAGCCAATAGATAACTCTGGGTGATATTGGCAGGACGTGGGAAAAAGACCGTTTGCTTCGCGGTAGAGCCTGGCACTGAAGTCTTGGTGCCTTCATCGTTGTGCCGCGTGCTGACAACCATTATACTCGCTTGGTGTTCGTTCCGCCTGTGACCTGAGAGATGCTGAGGTAACCTTAAATCAGCAAAATCTTGAATGGACCAATAACTGTCTGAGGTGTCTTCTTCCAGCATGATGTGATCCATCAGCAAAACAAGGTCATTTGCGCGAGCCCGCCCTTGCCCAGCAGAAATCCCGATGTTCTCCAGATCTTCGGTTAATTTCTCGTCCACATGTTCCGAAATTTTGATTGCGGGGATCGAACCCGGGGCCATGTTGGCCTCTAAGGATGCCGTGGAGCTCGAAGCGGGCATGACATCGACGTCCGAGGTTCTGGGTGCCATGTTGCTGAGTGAGCGGCGTCGAGGAGAACCTGTCATAGAGCCCAGGCCTTTGGGTAGCTTGACAGCTAGAAGATTGTTCTTGACAACCTCCAGAAGAGATCCAATGGCTGTGCTTCCTGGTTCGCATGCTGGAAGGCCTGACATGTAATCCAGCCACCGCACCACCACGTCGTGTACCCTGGCGACCTTCCCCTCAACCATGGTGGTTGTTTGATACATCGGGCTGTCATGTCCGATACTTTGATTGAAGTGGTCCAAGCCATCCGAGCCATACAATAGCCAGATGATAAACTCCAGCGTGATGCAGCCCATTGCCCAAATGTCATACAATCTGGATCGTCACTTGCCGCCGGTGGCTAGGACGTCTGTTCCAGTTTTCTCTTCAGGTGATTCGTAGTGTCGTGTTCCGTAGGGAGTTGATGTTCTGTTGCTACGAAGTTCCGTCTCAAGGTCATGCCCTTTTGCTAGCCCCCAATCTCCAATCTTGAACTTACCCATGCCACCACCTTCTCCTGTGTTGTCCCTGAACCAAAGGATATTCTCCGGTTTCAAATCTCCGTGACGGAATCGCCTTCGATCCCCAGATGGATAATGGGCTGCCTCGAGTGCTTGGGCGAGCATCCAAATCTGTGTAAGCGAGTCTCGAACGGGCGTTGACGTGGGCGACGCTGGCATTGGTCGGGGATATGTTTTCCAGAAATTCCGAAGGTTCCCGCCATCAGCCCATTCAAACATGAGATACATGTAATGGGCTCCGCAACGCCGAAAAGCGGTGATGAACTGCACAATGTGCTCCTGGCCAAGGGTGTTTGTCTCTTGCAGAGTCCTAGCTTCTTGCTCCCAATCTTGAATCATGGTGGCACGATCCTGTTGATTTCTTGGCACGATCCTGTTGATTTCTTGGCACTATCTCCTTGACGGCCACGTATCCCCACGTCAGGCTCTTTGAATTTGAGTATGCGTGTCAGCAATATCAGACTTCTGTTTCGACATGATAGTTTCAGGTAGGTTGAATCAGCTTACTGGGTTCTCTTCATTGATGAGATGTTTGCGATGAATTCGACACTTCACCACCTCACCAAACCCACCACTCTGGCGTGTTGACACGTCCTTCTCAATGAATGGCAGGCAAGGACCCCGAGGAATGTCGAGACTGAAAGATGTCTTGGTGGCGACACGAAAAACAGGAACCTGGACTGCCCATTGATATCTACAGAACTCGCCAATATTCCGTTCTGTCCATATCATCTTCCCCTTACCAGGGGGCGGGTTGAATAAGGTCAAAATATGTTTCTCGCCGTCTGCAGGACGTGGCAGGGGGAGGTTCCTATCTGAAAGTCCGCCGTTGGGACCATGCTTGAAGAGGTGCATAGTCTTGTTGAGATAATGAGGCTTGTCGAACTTGATCTGTCTAACAACAATAGCGAATAGCTTCTTGGCCTTTTGTTCGATGTAGGTGACAAGAACATCTATATCACGTTCCGCCTTCTGAGGATCGCGGGCACAACGCATTGGCTCCTTCTTGATGACATCTGGAGTTAGCAGCTCGTCGAGGGTTCCTTCTGGGGTGAATATGTGGCCGCCCCCGTCGAAACAACTGGTGGCTTCCCTCTGCATAATCAGGTTGCACAATTGATCATTCTCACCATCTTCCGAAGACGAAGATGAGGATAGGTCGTAATGCGGTGCTTCGTCGCTTGGCGTTATAGGGCTCGAAGCCATGATGTGATCAGGACTCAGTTTGATAGAGTGATGATAATAGTGATTAAGGTCAACTGACTACGGAGCAGCCGCTATTGTATCGGGCGTCCGCAGAGATGTGTAAAAGTTGATGATATTCAGAGATACTCTAACAAAAAGCTCCAGAGAGCAAAAACCTATTCCTATCAAAACCGATTTGTGGGGCGATGAGGAGCCCCCAGAGGCAAACATGCCACATATTCCAGACTCCCTCACCGGCGCTGTTGTCATTCCTATCATCGTCACACCAGCGGGGAAGCCTGTGCCGCGCCTCAACCACCCAAGTCAACCATCAGTGCTGGAGGAATTACTCACAAAGGCGAGTGATATTGCCAATATAGAGGCGGTAGGCGAACTTGATCACAGCCCGAGACCTTCGACGCCTAACGATGGTTCTGTTACGCCAAACTGCCCCTCCATGTTATATGGAGGCAGTCTTGAACATCTCCCCGAGGCTTTGCTGGGGTTGACCCAAAATGATCGGGATGGAACCGCGACACTTGCTGGTACTGACGAAGCGGACGAGGAGGTTTTCAGTCTTGGACCTGATATTATCGTAAGCCCGTCATCTTCTATTTCTATTTGATTTACCTAGTGAGCCAGGTATCGATTCAAGGTATTATTGCTAAAAGTACACTCTAGTCCGGCAAAAGTACAAACGGCCATTTGAAGCTTCAACATAACACAAGTCAGCGTCTTCTTCCTGTAGATAAAGCCAACATTGTAGGCTCAGACCTTACGCAGGGAGAGATCCCAAGGTCCCCCGCTGCCTTGATTGAGCCCAGCGTCACCGTCATCACGGATCTTGGTGATGGAATGTATTCAAGACGCAGAGACACAGAAACCTCTTCCAAGTCAGAAGCATCCAGTGCCAGTTCCGAGTTAACCTCAACAAGTCTGCAGTCTCAGATACACAGGGCTGTCGTGAAACCCAAATATCACAAGGTGGAAACTCAAGGGTTTGTACCAAGGTCTCAGCTTGACGAGCTCATCAAGGTAGACGTCATTGTCCAAGAGCTACAAGAATCCATGAATCGATCAATCCGGAGACGCTTTCAAAAAAGTTTTTGGACTTCCGGCCCTCGACCAGCGATTCCCTCGAGAAACGAGTACGCATCACCGCTTCACAAGTCTGCGGAATTGTTTCGGAAGAAACAAACAACACGAAGAAGGAACCCAAAGTGACATACCGAAAGATCGTCGCCATCATCTTGTTGTGTGGGGAGAAAATAGACAAGGTCCAAGCATTTATCGACGAAGGGGTCTCTGATTCTGCCCTCACTCCGGTCATTCACACCGTTTCGAAGCGCTTTGAGCTACCGTGTGAAGGATAAACCCGACACTCGACTGCGTGCTTCAAATCTTGGAGTAAACAAGACAGGAGAAACTTCGAGTCCTGGCAATGGACAGTCCTTTCGCCATACTTCGCCCGCAATACGTCTAACAAAATCACACACTACATTCTTCAGCGCCATACTATCTTGCCATTCCTCGAGCTGGAGCCCGTAGGAAGGAGGGGGGGCTCTGGCAAGGTTGAGCAAGTTAAAATTCATCATGACCCATCATGGGTTCAAGGAATTTGCTTCGAAGGGAAGGAAGGGGGCGGAGACAGGGGAAAAGCAAATGGCAGAGGAGATAGATACGACAAAGCCTGTCGGCCAGGAGGGAGACCGAAAGGTACGCCAGACCACATGACCTTCAACTAAAGCTTCTCCACACAACTCTCGTAGAACACGACTCAACCCGATTACTTCTCAGTCAAAACTCTTCACTCCGCCGACTCGGACAGAAAGAAGTCCGACAAGGAGGTCGGCATTCTCAAAGCCATGAAAAAAAAGCCGCACCCACATATCATCACCCTATTGGTCACGTACGAGTATGACGAGAAATTCCATCTTCTCTTCCCGCTGGCCGACTGTGACCTTCTCCAGTACTGGAAAACAGGAAACAAGTCACAAGCCCACAATGACGAGGGCACGGCAAGGTGGCTAGCTCAGCAATGTCATGGCCTCACATCAGCACTAAGACAAGTCCAGCAGAGCTCAAGATCTTCTTCCGACGGCTTTGAAGAACGAGCAAAGCTTGTCAGAAGGTCTCTGTTTTGTAGTGAATTAGATATTCATCAAAACATGAGCGATCCTGACCCGAGAACGCTGGTCTGTCAACATGGGGACCTGAAACCCCAGAACATCTTGTTGAAAGACAGGTGTCGATTGGCACAGCGTATGACATTTGGTCCCTTGGATGTGTCCTGCTCGAGTTTGCCACCTGGTGCTTTGGCGGCTGGGCATATTTTGACAGTTTTGTTTCGGCCTGGGCAGAGCCTGACCTGCGGTCGGGGCGAGGGAGGGTTCACTCGACGCCGTTTTCTGGATAGCCAGGGACGATCACACTGGGGAGGTTTGGGCTGAGGTGAAAGACTATGTTGCGCAGGTATGGTATACGTCCGGCCTTTCCCTAGTTTACTGCGAGACAGTGAAGAAGAACATTGGCTAACCAGAACCCTCAGTTCGCCGATGACATGCGCGAAAGATCGGAATGTACAAGGTTTTTCCACGATTTCTTGGATTTGATTCAGCACAGAATGCTGGTCATCGACCCGAAGCAAAGTTCCTCCCAGTTGGAGGAACAACTCAGAGAATTAAAGGATAGAGGCGATCTCGACGCGGGATATTTCGTGAGGCAGAGGTGGAAGTGACGTTACATGGTGCATGCTGGGCCGTGGCTTGGTCGGTCCACCTTTTGTATACCTTAGACAGTAGATGCTTTCTCTGCTTTTATTTCCCAAATTTACAGATACCCTGGTCTAGATGTCGACCGCTACATTAAACGTTTAGTGGTATACATTACAGGAGCTAGGTACTTTTCAGCCAAACAGGTAGAGTCAAGGACCTCCGGATGATGAGCTGCAAGAGGATCACATGTCAACCTGGACAAATATTTAGGCACGCAAGACCTGGTCGATCCAAACCCGAAACAAAACTCGGATTTGGTCGCATTGCAGGCTTTGTAACTATTCACAGAAATAGATTGAGAGTCTTGAATATCCAACTTGCAAGAATTTACCAGAGAAAAGAAAGAAGAAGAAAAGACCCAAAAGAATGCCATCAAGATCGATGTCCTCATGGATGATCAGGAACCACCGTCCTCTCAACACAAAAAACCCTTTTCATCTCTTCCACCCATCCACCCATCCACCCACTCTTTCGACCATCACTCCAACTCCCACCGCTACCCTTCACCCTCCATCGACCCCGTTGCTTTTCCCTAAACTCCCTCAATCTCCTCCCCCAACCTCGTCCTCCCACGCTTAATCCCGGGAAAAGGCCTCCGCTTCCCCTCAAAGATCTCCTCCCTAATCTTGATCAACTTATCCCTCACCGCCATCACATGAGGCTCCACATCCTCCCTCAAAAGCCCAATCCTCCTATCCAGCTCCTCCTCATACCTCAACTCCATAATCTCCCCCGTCGTGAGCCAGTACCGGCGGTAAACAAACAGACTGCACACCACCGCCGCAGCCAACACCCCGCAGCAGACTTTCATGTCCTCCCTCAACGCAGAGGTATACACCTTGCGAACAGCGGCCCAGTCATCATCGCCAAAGTCTGGCGTTGGGCTGACAATGTGAGCCAGGACGAGAGAGCTCATTTCGGGGGTTGTTGAAGGACGGAGTTTCCCCCCCAAGATGGCGGAAGAGACAGCAATGCCGATTGAGCCGCCTAGGATGCGGAATTGGGCTATGATTCCTTGGGCGGATGCTAGGGGGGGTTGTAAGCGATTGTGTGGGGTTGGAAATAAAAGGGGAAGACATACCGTGATCTCCGATGGGACTTTCGAGGTTGATAAACATTGTCGCTCCGCAGGCCGACATGCCAAACCCAAAGCCAATGAGGGACAACAACCCGACATCTTTGGCGTCGAACCCGGTGATGCTCCCGTCATCGGTGTCACCCAGTGTTGTCTGGGCGGCGCAGCCGATGAGCATAGTCAGACAGGCGAGGAGAAACGTCTCAAAAAAGCGAGGTTTCTTCTGCCCTGTTATGCACCCGTTGTTGACTAGACTGGCTGTGACAGTTCCGATGGCCGAGGAGGCTAGCATAGGGAGGAGCATGAGGCCTGCTTCGAGGGATGATTTCCCGTGGACGACTTGGAAGCGGATGGGAAATGCGTACACGGACAAGAGGTAAGGGAAGCCGGTTAGGGCTGTGACCAAAATTGTGGCGATGTACTTTCGGTTGCAAAGGGAAGGGGGGAAGGCAAAGGCGAGGGACTTGAGTTTCCGAGGGCCACGGATAGCAAATGTTTGCCAACCGATGAGCAGCAAGAGAGCAAGGGCGGCGCCGACGAGGGGGTAGATGAATGTTGGCTGGGCGTATGGATTCAAGCTGGACAAGTCGCCCTCTGCCTTTTGACTTGATAGGTTCTGGAAGGGAAAAACAACCAGGACTGCGAAGGCCATACTGTTCGTAATGTTAGCAAATACCGGCAGAGGTGTGGGGAAGCATGACTTACAGAAGGAAAGACCCAAGATAGTCCAGCTCCTTCCAGGACCGGTCCTCATAAATGGGCAGATATTCCTCGGCGGGCCAAGCCGGAATAAACAGCATGAGAGCCACAGCACCAATAGGGCCGCTACAGACAAGTTAGCGGGATGCTCAATCTTATCGCGGACCTAGTTTCACAACATACTTGATCCAAAAGACCCATCTCCAAGTGATGTATTGAGTCAAAACCCCACCCAGGACAGGCCCAATCACACCTGAAGTGGCAATCACCATGCCGACAATGGCACCAATGTACTTCTTGTTCTTGTCCGGAGTCAGCTCGGGCAAGACGATCATGCTGATACTGTAAAGTCCTGTTCTCGCGTCAGCTCCTCACCTATCAAACTGGCCCGGATAGAGACTAGGTAACTTACCTCCGGCGCCCACTCCTTGGAAAGCACGACAAATGATAAGCTGCTCAATAGTCTCGCTGAAACCACAGCCAAGAGAGAATGCAATGAAGATACAAAATGCAACGACGAAAGCATCTCCACGGCCAACCACATCGGACACGCGGGCAAAAAGTGCAGCGAAACCGAGGTAAGTGAGACCATAGGCCAAGGCCACCCAGTTTATATGCTCAAAATTCTTCATATCACTAGCAATGCTGAACAGAGAGGTCGCAATAATGGAGGCATCGAGCATGGAGAGGAAGAGACCGGATGTCAGACTGGTGTGTATTAGTGTTTCAAGTCGAGGACGTTGGAGCATGAATAAAGACGTACCCAAAGACGAGAATGAGGTAGCGGGTGCGTGGAATGGTAGGCCTACCCTCAACAAAGAAAGGTCTGGGTGTGGAGGGAGGTGTGTTCGCGATGAGTTGGACAACGCGAACAGAAGGAGATTTCTCTGCTTCCGAGTTCGCTGGGGTGCTGGTAACCGGGGGCTTCTCATCTGCAGAGTCGATGGTGGTTTCGGTGACAGCGATGGCCTCTTTTTCAGAGTCCATTGCCACTGGAGTGACGGTCACCACCGGGTCTGAAGGTTTGGCTTTCATGGTGAGGCTTGGTTGTTGGGTCGATGTGTAAAGTGTTGAGTTGTATGTACTTGATAGATACTTCTGTTGTTTGTTTGAGAGAATGAAGAGGTAGTAACACGGAATGCCTGCCTTAGTTATACTTGATCTTTGAGAGAGGTGTTGAAATCATAAAATCCCAAACTTGGCCTAGCCAGGAACTTGCTCCGACCCTGATCCTCGATCCGACATCGTCATCCAGATGAAGTGAGGCGAGGGAACTGGAGCCAGCATGCAGGTTAATGAGGGGGGTTCCGAGGATAAGGGAAACTTCGAGAGAATCGATGTTTGTGTACCTGGCTCATTCCCTTGCGCCCACACAGTCAGTGCTACGGCCGGTAGCTGATACCGCCCGTTAGAGTTCACAGAGACCCCTTCAACCCCGCCGTAGAGATGCAGTGAGAGGCTCGGAATCAAGGATTGCGCAGGAGGGATTTCTGTTGTTAGCTTCAATTGTTGTCGACAGGCATGCATCTTTGCTGGTGGCAATGGACGAGGAGCAGACACCGCTGCGTCATGTCGAGACATGGGGTGTCTTGTGTGACCGTATCTCCCACCTATGCCCATCCATGCCCCTGGGAGAGACTCCCAATATTCTGGATCTTGCTCCGCTTCCATCCCAACCTCGGTTTGCGCGCCGTGTATGGGGCTGAATCTCCCCGCGGGCCGCCATCACCCGTTTCTGACAGCTGTCTTGGAGCGTGAAGCCGTCCCAAACCGACTGCAAACGCTTTTTCCATGGCTGTTTGGAGACCACTAAGCAATAGCAGTTACTTGATTGGTCCCAGTGCGAGTGACACTTGCTCGGTCGTCCCTTTGCACCGCAGATCCTCAAACCTTATTTTCAGAGCTGCACGGCCGTAAATCAAAAGGCGCCATCGCGTATTGATATGCCTTGAGCCAGGGGCTGGGGCAGCCGAGTCCTCCTGATGGTCATCTGGTTTGTAAATTCGATTGATAATGAAGAATCGAAAGACTGATCATGAACTGGCCTGGACTGTTGATGGTGTTGGCAGAAACTTATTCATCCTGGGAAGTATTGTCTTACAAGCAACCGTTCGGTAATAAGATGCTGTACTACCCAATGTTACAGACTTACACTCTGATTTTGGCGACAGAATTGCACTTCGACTGTGGCCATTTGTCTTTTAAGCGACTCAGGGTGCTGTAGCAACGGTATTTATATGGGGGCCACTTGCCCCTATCTTCTTACCAACCACTTAATCAACACACGTAAAACGGGACCACCTACCTTAGTTACTTCGAATCAGCATCTCCAATCTAACTACAATTTGGTTTTGAGATTCTCGGGCGCTTTAAAATGACCTTAATAGGTCACGACCATCTTGGTGTTGGACTCTCGAGTTTTGAAAGAATTCAATGAGTATGGACTAAGAGGCAGCTGAAAAACAAGGAATGGAATTCCATCTCTGCCAGTTCAAGGCTCTCAAACATCCTGCTCGTGTTCTTTGATCGTATTTCTCGAGTATCCAGCTCGTATTATCTAACCGTATCGACAACGAGAGCCTCTTGTGGCAACATCACATGCCATCTCAGAGACGCTGGTACATCGATACGGCGAGAGAATGAAAACAATGTCTGAAATCATCATCACAACATCACCCCTCTCTACGATATCACGTATTGGTCCATCAATCAAGCCCAGTCCCTGCTTGTTGCTCTCTCGCAGAGCCGCGACGAGTCGCTGGAAGGGCGCGTCTCTATCGCGCCTAGCAAGGCAGCGGTCCCAAAGCTTATTTTCTGTCATACCGATGGCGTTGTCCACGCCGACCAGACTTCCAGATCAAGACAAGACGGTGAGTCGCATGCTGCAGGTCTGAAACCTCCATGTCCCCGGCGAGGAGATGCCATCTGTCGTATCTAGAGCTCGACAGATGGAGGGGACGGGAGAGCCGGCGCTATCTCTCCTCGATTCCTGAACTTGAGCGCCACCACATGCACGGCGATGACGTTTCAGGTGATGGCGCTCCCACGACTGGGAGTGGACAGCAACGGCTTGCTCCGGCCGCGTCATGCTCCCCAGCTGTCTTTGCTCTGGAGGCTGCCCTACCACGTTCCCAACCGCGCGCTGCACGTATGAAACGCCAACCACCTAGAGAAGCTTGTTAGCAACATGCCAACACAACAAGACAATATATCGAGACAGTAACAGCAAGTCTGTGCGCGGGATCTTCGCGCCGTGAAATAAAGAGATAACAACGACAGAAGAGATAAGATTCAAAGCCCCTGAAACATGTTTCGTGATCCATGGTGACCTATCACCGCCACGGAACAGGCTCTCGGTGTGCGCAGAAAACTTGTCATAGTTGGGGGATTCCCTGTCTCCACATCTCCGGCTCCTGATGCGGCATGGCGGGTCCGGAAGCCGGAGATTGATTGCAATGGCTTGCATTGCTGTGCCGGCGTCGGTGTCAGTGGTGGATTGGAATGATGGAAACGAGTACCGACATGAGAGGGAAGTGAGCCTGCAGCCCCCCGCGCTTGCCAGTTCCTTTCTGGGATTTTTCAGGAGGCAGGTGCAGACGTCGGATTTCATGATTGCAATGGCAGGTGCTCCTGAGGTAGGCAGCTCCGGACCGAACCATGATCTGGCAACTGCAGGCTCCTCTCACCTCGACCACCAAAGCTTACCACATCTTGATGCACGCTGTCGGCCTCTCGCCAATTGTTTCCTTCTGTCCGCACCGGCTGAATGTGTTTTGCTTGCTCTCGGTGCACGTAACTTCAAACCCCTCCTGTTGGCCGATTGACAGCACACTCGCGACCCTGAGCCGATCTAACTTGACCACTGGTAAATGCCACCCCAGCAATCTCTGGGCACAGGACGAAGCTTTTTTGTGGCTGAAGTTCAATAAGACAAGAGGAGTCGGGGTTTGGTACGAGCCCGACGGACAAGACAAGACATGACGACACAACACGACAGAGACTTTATCACGCACCAAACATTAGCCATACATGGTAGTTGCCACAACCACCAAGGGTCCTTCAGAACCAAAATCATGCCGGCCCCGGAGCAGAACATCGACGGCCCCGGTCTCAAAGTACGGAATACCACAACTTGTTACTACCGACGTGGCTGCCCCCAGACCCGTCGTTCTCCGGCCTCCCAGCCCCACCGCATCCGAAGGTGAACAAGAAGCGGTGATGGCATGTGCTGTCGACGACCTGCTGGTGTGATGAGGTCCGGGCGTGCAGTTGGACAGTTGCAAGCCTAATAGGTCTGTTGCATCAAGAGGCCGGCAATGGGGTGGAGAGCCTGTCGGCGGATGACAATGCCGTCAGGGCCAAGCTTTGATGACGGCCTAAAGGACCGATGAAAAAACAGAAAAGAGGAGAAACAAAAAAAGAACCAAGAACCTGTGATCTCCAGGCATGGGTTGGATACCCCGCATTTTGCTTCCATCTACCGACAGTATCAACAAGCACGGGCGATCATCAACGAAACAGGTGGTGTGTAGTGGTTGCACACACGAGATTCGATACCTCGACAAGGATGATGATGACGAGGTGAGCCAGCCCCCCTATACGCCTCGTCTCCTATTGCTTCTCTCTCACCAATGCTGGGCTAGAAGAGGCAGGTGGGTTGTCGCTGCGTTTTTCGCGATCCAGAGGCATGAGAATGTTGGAACGATGGCTTAACCCCGCATTTCCCCCCTCCACCCCTGTCAAATTTCATTTTTTCCCCCAGCTTGGAGAAGACCTGGGGTGCATTTACCCCACATCTCAAAACCGTTGAACAGGGGTGGCTGACATGTCCAACGTCTCAGGTACCTGAGCACAGGGGGTCAAACAGGCGGAGTCTGCTTGAGAGGCCGAGGTACCCAGCAGGGCCCTCTGCGCTTCGGGCCGTCACTCCAGATTGCAGCAACATCCTCGACGCGAACACCCGACAGATTCAGCCAACCAATGAGACAACACCGTTTTTTTGGCCTGACGGGGCCCCGTTCAGGAAACCGTTTTCACTCCCAGTCACCTTTGCTTCTTCCAAGTCGATCGATGATCTGCCCCACCACCAACTCCAACTTTTGCACGACAGTCTCCGACATCAGCGACTTTCTCGAAGATGCAGATGCAGACAGCAAGGGACACAACCGACCGCATGGCAGGACATTCCCCCTGAGTCTAGCAGACGGCTTGACGGCTGATCCTGCCACCAGCCCAACCGGCGATCACCTCTTTTGTCCTTCCGGATACCTTCCAAAAGTCCCCAGAGGCGACCATGATGGTGACACACAGAGACCGATCTTTCCCCAGAAAGTGGCTGAGTTGACTACGGGCGGGAGTTGTCGATCTTTTGCTCCTTCTTGACCCTTCGCCTAACATCAAAAGGCGAAATCTGCCCGGATAGCATTTTGGATTCCCACGTGGTGTGAAGCTGTCAGGACGATGCTCCCCACATCTACCAAATGCTTGGCGGATCGGCCCTCATATCCTCCTCTCCCCTTCCAGAGATGTACAGCATACAGGAACCCAAGACTAGAGGAAACTGACTTGTCGCATTGCTGACACGGCAGATATGGCCCATCCGGGTTGTCTTCTGTACAGCTGAGAATACCTAGTGCGGATGATCTTGGTGGTTGTATTGTATCTAGGGGTGGCTGAGCCGGAGACGGACGAGCGTAGTTCCCGGAAGTGAAGTCTTCTCAGTGTGTGTGGTCGTAGTGATCTTCAAGATGCTGCCTCAAGATGGCTGGTATGTTGAGGAAGCCATGTCACGTCGCCATCGGATGTTGCGACTTTGACACTGACACGAAGGGTAGCCAAGAAGGTGTAAAAGCTTTCTGGAATGTCGGCTTCGGGGTGCAAGACCGGTGGACTCTTATTGGATGATGAGGCCTGGCTGAAAACCTTTGTGAACGCTTCCATAATATCCACAGTGATACTGTACCAAGTCGCTGAAGGGTCTGTGTGTTTGATGATGGGCTATGTTTTGATGGTGGACGTCAAGGTTGCATGAGAGAAGAATGCGGGGAAGAAGGAAGGAATGTATTCGCTAGCTAGGTATAACCTTCGAATTACGGACTTGTGTGTGTGAGAGAGAGGGAAGATGAATGGCTAGGAGGGGCAAGGGAAGTAATAGTGATGATGGTGAGAGTCCAATCAGTTGTGGGATAGGGGAGTGGTCATTCCGGGTATTTTCTACAGGGCCGAGTAAACGCCCGATGTGTCCCTTTGACTCAATGTTCTTGCCCATGTTTATTGTTTCTTCATCGCATCAAACCCAAGAGGGCGAATAAACAGTCAAAGACATGATGGTGAAGTGTGTTGTAAAAAAGTGGAATATTGGGTATAAGCCTAGAGAAAACCTAATTTGAGAACTCCCCTTGTCCTGTCCTTTCCAACTTTCCCAATTCCTGTTTTGTTTGTTGTAGGAGATTTGCGTGCGTGTGTGTTTTTTCCGATCTTTTTCCCCAACCGACCTTCCTGCTTCATCCTCTTTCTCTCATTCATCATCATTGTTTATACAAAAAAATATGTGCAAGAGAAAAAAGCAAAAAAGCAACCCAAACAAATTTCGTTTCCAGAAGTAAAAAAGTAAGTTGTGGTATATCCGGCCCCGATTCCATCCGTTTCCATCCGTTCCATTTGCTTTGAGTAGTAATGAAATAAAGTGAAAATTTTGGGGTGTTAAAAAAAGAATTGTCATATAAAATGATGACGACAAAGAAGAAGAAGTGAAGAAGGGGCAAAATAATCCCTGTTTACCCCAGACTGCCCGGTTACCCCAGACTTTTTTTTTTGAGTTGCTTGAGACGCCACTGGGTGTGACGGTAGGGTAGCGCTGGGGAATATGAAGGGGGCCGATGTTCCGGGTGGGATTGTAATACAGCCGGGGAGGGAGGGAGATGGTGTTGTTAGGTAATCAGCTAGCTCACTGAACATACCCAAAGCCCTCCATCCCCACGTGATGATGTCCAGCGTGGTGGTGGTGCATCATCCCATAGTCCACATGCTGCATCAGCTCGGGGTGGTGGTGATGAGCGGCGGAGGCGGCTTGTTGAGCAGCAGCGTAAGCGGCAAACTCGGCGGCGGCGGCGCTGTCGTCTGGGTTTCCAGTGTGTGTTGGGGACTGAGGGCCATTTCCACCCCAGTACATCCCGTCTAGATCCCATAGACCCCCTTGATCAAGCAGGCCCATCATACCCCCCATTCCGTCGACTGGCTCGAGACCAATGGGGCTCATGTGAACCTCTCCGCCGCCGACGACGATGCTGTCGGCTGTGGTGGTGATGTGGAGGCCGGCGGGGGATTGGGAGCGGGCAGCGGCGCCTTGGGCTTGGACTGCCCGGGAGGCTTCGTACATGCGCCAGACTACCTCTCTTGAGCGCCGGGCGGCGAGGGACCACTCCTCCATGACCTCGAGGAGGTCGAGGACTTGCTCGATTTGCTTGAGCCACTCTGGCACGCGGGGAGAGCCCCATTGCCAGAAGACGGAGACGAGCGGGACCATGGCTGCTTGGTAGAGGAACCAGACTGCGTTCCAGCCGCTCATTTGGTTGCGGGTCCATTCACGGCCGACGTCTTCGATGGTGGCCGCGGCGAGTTCACGGCAGGTCTCAATGGCTTGGAGGTCCGCGTCGCAGGCTTGGGTGTGGGGGTTGAGGCCGGAGGAGGCAAGCGAGAGGAGGACGGGGCGGTGGAGGAGCATGCGTAAGTTTTGGTAGCGCCACTTCATGATGCAGCGGGCCATGTAGAGCGGTTCCGCGCAGGGGTCGGTTGTCCGCAAGAGCCAAGGGAGGGAGGTGTACCAGTTTACGAGCTGGGCGTCGATGGCGCAGCGGTCTTCTGTCCTGAGAAGGGGGGTGATGGCGAGCATGTCTTGGATTTGAGTGGCGATCTTGCAGAATTTGATGTTTTCGATCAGAGGGAGGATTCCTGCGTGCTGGGATGAATCCCGGTTGGCGTTGATGCCGAACTCGGGGGGGCGGATGTTGATCGCGGGACCCCAGCGGCCGAACGAGGGACGGCCCATGGTGGTGGTGGCCCAGGTGTCGAGGCAGAAGAGGGACCACCAGGTTCTGCGGCGGGTTTCGGCTGCGATGATGTCGCTGCCTGGGAGACCTACCGTGATGGACTCACGGTGAAGACCCAAAGCGGAGGCCATGCGGATGGCGGCGCCGAGGACGGCGTTGGCCATGTTGGGCCGGTTGATGTAGTGGAGGTAGTAACCTCCGATGAGGGCGAGGGCCTGGACCGTCTCGATGTGGGAGGAGCCAAAGGCGTCCATGGGAAGGTGCTCCATGGCGCGGTTGTAGTAGTTGATGTGGTTGTAGTCGTCCGATTTCATAGCCGCGATGGAACCCATGGCAAAGACCATGTTGAGCAGAGCGAGCCATGGGGCGTCGGTTCGTTGGCCTTCGAGGTAATCAGCGCGGAAGGTGGACTCGTCGAGCATTGGAACGAAAGCGTGGATGCGTTTGAAGTAGGCGTCGATGAGTGTTTGGCCCTTCCAGGACCATGGGATGCGTTGGGGGTCCTTTTGGGTGGTGGGCTTCTGGCGGATGGCTGGGTAGTTGTGGGACATCTCGACTCCGTTTAATGGGGCTGCGAGGGAGTTTCGGAGGCCGGGTTGGACCTTGAGCATGACCATGAGGGCGGCCTTGATGGAGGAGGCACCGAGATAGGATGTTTGGCGGTCTACTGAGAGCGAAAGAGCGTTGATGTCGTCGGCTTCGGCTGGGATCGGGTCTCTTCCTCTTCGCTCCTCGTCCCATTCTGTGTCTCTGGATGGCATCTGCTCGAGCAGGTTCTCCGTCTTTGGCATCATTGGTGAGTCCAAGTCCGACATGGGACTGGTGTTTAATGGTGGTGATGGTAAGCCGCCGACCGAAGTATCTATTGTTGGCCTGTCAAGAAGGCTGAGGAGTTCTTGTCTGGAGAGAGGCAGAAGAGACTGCACATCTTGTGTTGGGTATAACCGCTTCAGGATCGACCGGCATTCTTCGAGGGACTGTGATAGAGCTTCGAGTGTCTTGCGTGATGGGATCACTCTTTGTCTGTGCTTGTCGTAGAAACATCTCTTGGGAGCCCGGCTGGAGAGGCATTGGCCACATGGTTGTTGACCATCGCAGCGGCTGAGCACACCTGGTTAGATATGTTCCTCCTGTCTGAGGATCTGATCTGACTTACATCTTCCGTCTCTTGCACTCGGCACAAGCATGTGGTGTTGTTATCCTCTTGGCTGTACCTGTGGAGCTGGTCTTTGTGCTATCTTGAGAGTCTGTTGACTGCTTCCGTGGGGTGACGCCTTGGAAGGTGTGGAACATGCCACCCTGGGTGGGAACTGGGATTGATGGGGCCATGTTGGAAAGTCCAAAGCTGTGAAGTGCCAAAGGTGGTTCTGGGGAAGACGCAACCCAGACGGCCACACGGTATTTATGAGCACGACAGGTTGGCGATGCCGGGGACGCCGCCGGGTACCGGTTACAAGCGAGAAGCTGGGGTAAGTGGCAATGGCAAAGATGAAAAGTAACCACGAGCTGGGGTAGAAGCGCTCAATGGTAGCCACTTGGATAAAGATAGATGTGGGTAATGACGAAGAGAGGCGAGAACATGGGGAGCAGACGCAGACTTATATATCTCCATGGCATGCAGCTGGAGTTGTAGGTATGGTACATTGTGGAGAGAGCAGAGATTTGGACCATGCCCCGGCTTTCGAGGCCGCCTTCCTTGGACCCGTGGTGTGGAGAAGCTTGTTCGACGTTGCAACGTCCTGTCAAGTCGGGCCAAGAGCTCTGGGAAGGCCCTACCTAGCGTAGCGGGCGCTTGTGCAGGACGATGGGGTACTGTACATTGCTATGGGGGCCCCAGGTATAGCTTGCCGAGTAAGGTTGAGATAGAGTGGACTCCGTCAGAGGTAGGAAGTGAGCAAGGAGCCCGTCGAAATGGACGACGTTGCTGCTCAATGCCGTGTCAAGCCACGAGGACAACGGGATAGCCAGGGGGGGGACGAGGCTGCTTAGCCAGGCACAAGTTGGGAACCACCACCAATCAGGCATGACCGAGCCGCAGTACCTGGACGGTCCATATTAATCTCATGCCCAACAGAGGTCACGCCAGCCAGCCAGTCCGAGAAGAGGTACCTGCGGAAGGGGGAGGGCAATTTGTTGGAGAAACCGTAGGTCGGTCTGGGGAAGAATCTGGGGCAGAGTCTGGGGAGCATTAGCTCAGAGCCAATACCAGCGAATCCCTCTGCTCGTTGTGGTGGTGTCGTTTCACGCTGGGACCGGGGTGCATGAGTTGTAACTGTGTACTGCTGCACGTCAACCATGAATGCTTATTGCTGCACGTGGGTTTTCCATCTTTTTCGTTGTACAGCGGCTTGCCATCGAGGCACAGCAGCCGTCTTTCCTGATGATGTTGCACCCCCCAGTCCGGCACAGTCTCCTGTGGCATCTGGTGCCGATGCCTGACGAGTTGAACAACAGCAGCGCAACATAGGTAGCTAGCTAATTGCTCGCAGAAACTGTGCAACGTCACAGGATGTGGAGATTTCGTCCCATATCGCCGCGCCGGGAAGCATGATTCTGCCGTGTTCCTGGACAGCTAGTATAACAAGAGCGAGATGAGAGGACTAGTATGCTCGGGAAGGCCGTCATTAGGCTTGGCCAAAACATCCACCGACCTGTTGTAATAGCACCCCTTAAGAACTAGGGGCGTGTGTCAACCAGGAGGAGGAGCTAGGGATTTGGAGAAAATGATCCGTAGCAAGAGAAAAAAAAACTTGAAGTTGGGGGAGGGTTGGAAAGAGGGGCCGTCGGCCCCAGGCACACTCCCCCTCTTCTAAGACGCCAGTCTGTGCCCTGAAGAACGGCGCCGTTGGTTTGGTGGAGATATGCCAAGTCCAGAAGAGCTGATTGGCGTTCGGCCGCCCGCAACGGTTGATGCCCAGGGATCTGCCCGCTTTCCTTCTCCGATCAGGGCAGACAGGGGTCAATGGAGGGGGAGGTCCTCCACAGGTTCGACTCGACCCAAACCCCTGAGCTCTGCTGGATCTGGTGAAAGAGGAAACGGAGCGGAGGATAGCAGCAGCCGCACGATAATGCTCTTCTTCCAGTGGTGTTGTATGAGCTTCGGATACTCGCAGATAGCCTCTAAAGATCTGGCAGTCTGGCCCGCCTCGGCCAGGTGGAAAATACGGTGCATGCGACAGTAGCAAATTTCATCGCCTATGAGGACCCTTCCCGATAGCACCTGAACCAAACATTGAGCATGCGGTGAGTGTGAACTAGAAGGTGCTGTTAGCAAAGCGAATCCACCTTCAACGGCGACACGAAGACGACGGCGCCGTTCGCTTCTGAGAGCTGAGGAGAAAAAAATAGCGGTAAATAGATGGCATGTGGCGATTTCCCAGCTGATGGACGAGACACATGACTGCGAGCCTGCGAGGCTTAATATCTAGACGGTGTTGGTTGCCATGTTGGGAAGAACTGAGCCGTACGCAGTCAGCATAGCATATATGCATGTGCTCTGTAGAAGCCCACTCTCTCGTCATCGCCCAGCTCCATCACCGCGCGGTACCGGCCATGGTCCTATCGACTGACCAGTCGTACGGGCTGAGAGCGTTGATGGCTGGCGAACGGAGCATGCTTCTATGACTTGCCCCGCCGGTCCTCTCGACTGTGAGCGTGGATATGGGGCTGGTTGTGTAAGTACCCTGGTACGGCATGTCAAGGCGGTTATCCTGCTGGAACATTGTACCTCCAGCATACACACAAGGTACCACGATTAGCGCTTCTCTTTGTTCCCGTCGCCGTTGCCGTCTTTCTTGTGGACCCCTTGGCCAGTTCGCCGCAGCCGCGGACGCTGCCTTGTCCTCTGCAGCCGCTTGCTCCCGCGATTTTGCCTGTGAGGAGGACCTCATCAATGGTTCTTGTGTTGATATCTCTTGGGGTATCGAGATATCCCATCTCAACATTTCTGGTCGACCCTAGTGAAAAGCTGAGCTTGATGAGGTCCTTGAACAGTTGCTGTCGCATTGGGCAGCCTGCCCTGTCTCTAATTACCGGCTGTGCCGCGGCCGAGCAGCCGGAATCGACGAGGGGGTCGGAAAAGCAAGCGACGACCCTTGTACTACACCATAACACAGCGTGGTATGTCAGTGCGGGAGGATTGTTAGTGTAACCACTAGTTCGAGCTCAGGGCATCACCACCACCTGAGACTTGACATTTCCTTGTTGCGGGTTAGGTTAGGAACTGGGCATCGACATCCGTGCTCTTCATGCGGAATCAAAAGGCGGTCTTCTAGAATAGCATGACGAAGCTTCAGCTGTAAGCTTAGCTTGTAAGCAAGACCAGACAAAACTAACGGCCTATCCGATATGCAGTGATATGCTGCTGTCTTGATCTTGTGCTGTGCTGGCGAGAAGCAACCGAGATGTCGTGCATGAGCGAGCGAGAGAATAATGTCTTGCTCATCAGTGAGGGCAAAGGCGAGTGCGAGGTGAGCTGTCAGATTTCCGGGTGGTCGGCCTGTTTCTCCTGAACTGAAGGCGATCTCCCAGTGAAACCCTGTGGCGCTTTTGGACGGTGAATTCCACGTGCGCGTCTCCGTTTGTGTGTTGCAGTAGTTGACGGTGACTTACCGTTCGCAAGATCCCTGCCTCACCACCACACCCTCTTTTCTCTGATGATTAATGCAGAGCAAGATCTCTGTGAGCTTCGCAAGAGTGCAGTTCAAACAGCCGCCAAGGCGCCGAAGCTCGGCAGCCAACGTTATTTCCCCACATTCTCGTCAGCCAATCAGAGGTGCAGCACCGCCTGGAATGTCGGCAAAGCAAGCCTAGCGTCGTCGTCGGCTGCTTGTCGTTGCTGTCTCTTCCCTCTTTTCGTCTTTCCTGATCGAGGGCCATGTGCGCGCCTGTGTCTTGCCCATTCAGTCAGGTCCAGTCGTCGATCTCCTCAGCCGATGACTCTATTCCTGGCATCAAACATATTGGCCCAACGTGGTCATTCTCTGCGGTTGCACTCGTATAGATTTGGTGCCACAACCTCGACATCGACGACGAGAGTCTCGATCTCTCTAGCGTAGGGGACCTGTCAACTGCTAATTATCCTTCGTCGGTGACACATGCCAAACACAGCTAGGTGTGCAGCATCATCAATGAAGGTTGGTGGATGTCTCATCGGACCTGTCTACAAGGGTGCTTAACCCTCTGACTTAAGCTCGAGCGGTGGCGCACGCCAACCCAGATGTGGCTTAACACACCGGCTCTTCCCCACAAACATCCACTCGTGCGAGAAGCAAATCAGCACGACCAAACATCACCGCCGTTGGGTTCACGTCATATTAACCGCCAGTCTCGACGAGTCTAGTCGACTTTTACCCTGCTCTTAACGCCGGAGATAGCACCGCACAGACACCTTACACCTTCACCCTTCCCCGATCAAGATTGCAGGAGCCGACTGATCTCATCCAGTGTTGGTCAGACCATCAGAGAAGGAAGGAGGAGAAGGAGCAGGAATGCAGCAATTATCACTCATGGCCGTCTCAGTGGACAGCGCAGAGTCGTCGATATTAACTCGGCTGTTCTGAATTAATTTGGCCATGCCATTCACTATCCCAATCCCATCTCTAGCCGTCGGTGACCGATGGGTGTCTGGATTTCCTTTCTCGGATCCCGTGTCCATGCCTTCGTTCTATTTTCCTGCCCACCCTCTTCTTCGAGCTGATGGAGGGGTCAACCACAACTGAGGCGCCGAGGTGTAGTCACCGCATTGATCAACCATCGCCATGAGCTGTCGCGGCGATATCGATGAGGCTCGTAGCAACACATGCCGCGGCTGTGGTCGGCATCAAATCCTAAGTTGCGGTCAGTCATGGCATGGGGCGGGCATGCTCGGCATGGCACCTGACACCACGACGGGTGGGCGGGTTGGTATCGCCGCGGAGCCGGACACTTCCACTCAGGTTGTCTCTGCGCATGCGATGTGCTACGGACATGAATTCGCGGGGAACCAGCTACAAGCTACACCGGTTTCAAAACCACAAAACGTACCGAGGTCATCCAACAAGGCGGCCGGGACACAGCACGAACCTATCGCATCTGCTCCTGTCGCCGGCCGGAAGAACAAGTTTGGAAATTCCAGGACCAGCTTCTATCTTTCCCGTCCTGGCCTTGTCCTAGTTGCCCGATGCCGTGCCTGTATCACCCAAACATCACTGCCCCTACGCATTTCCATGTGCCCAGTTTTTGCATGACATGGTGCCGAACAAGTTGTTTGGCCGATCAATACATAATGCACCCCTGGACTGATAGAGTCATATCAACTTACGCGTGTACTTACACCATCAAGACCTGTCAGTGGTCAAACCTATGTCTACTTATCTCCACTGTTGACCCCTACATCATTTTACTCCCGCTTCTGTTTGAGTTTTACACTTCTTGCTGGAATATTCCTGCTTTTTCTTCCTATATCCCGCAGCCTCTGACAACTGACATCTCGCATCTTACAAGCGAGGCTGATGCATGCTGCCACACCTCTAACAGGTATGCTAGTTGTGCTCCATCTGTCAAACTTGACATGGGCGCCAAGAGCAACTTCATGACAGGGCCAGCTCTTGATATGCAGCTAATGTAGTGAGTTACACCTTTCCCATCGGCCTCCTCACGCCAGACTTCCGGATGGCCCTCGGAATAACCGCTACAGCGGTCCGCCAGACGACAGGGTTGGCAAGGCGGGCTCAGCAAGGTCACCCCAGAATTGTAGCTTCGATACCGCCCACCACCATCCCCAGATTTCACTCTCATTCTCAGGCCGCACAACATGAGGTCGAAGTCACCTGGTTTCTGTGGCTTGCATCAATTCCCTCACCTCCTACTCGGAGATTTCAGGACCAGAACGTCGACATCGTGCCAGAAGCATGTCTCACAACCTCACTTCCCCCCCGCCGGCCCATCATGAGGACCGGAAAAGCGGTTTCTGCTTCCATATTCTCTAGTAGTCTGAGGTGAACACAGCAAGACCAAAGGACACAATATTCCTCACCAACTTGCCTCGACATCTGGTTCAGATGGGGCAGCGCCAGAGGCATCGCCTCAGGTCCTACATGCTCAGGTCCAGCCGAAAATTTTCGTTTACAACCACTCTCTCGCTACATCAGGTTGGGCTAGACGCTGAGCATGCACGTGCGGACATACATACAGACAACATCGACAAACGAGGCCGACACGCAGGGCCGGCGCATGCTTACATACACATGAGCTGCCTTTCAGTGGCCCACTCTCCAACCAGAAGCAGAAACGAAAGGGTGCCACCCAGGCTCTGCGGTCCGAAAAGAAATAGGTGGGTGAGAAATGGCTGAAATCTTGGTCGCAACGGTCTTTGGCTTGCTGCAGACAGTAGCTGCATTTTGCATATACCATACATGTGCCATGCCATGCCATGGCAAGCTACCAATTGCAGTCTGCATTAGTACTACTTCCAGGTTTTTTCTCTGTTCTGAATTGCTCGTTTTCCTCATCCCCTGAGCCCAAACGACAGCAGCCGAGCGGGTTGTGTTGTACCCGTACTGTTTACAGAGGGAATCAAGGGAAGCAGAAGGTATCTGCAAAACCGGGTGACCTAACCTGGTTTACCAGGTCTGCATCGAAAAACGGGAAGGCTGAAGAAGATGCCTGAAAACGGACTGGTCCCATTGGCTGGAGTAGTACTCAACAAGATGCCAGACACCACGCCAGATTCGACGATGACGGTCCCAAAAAAGGCGGCCCAGGATACTACGCCTGCCAGAAAAGTCTGTCAGCCTATTACCAAAGCAGTGAATCCAGTCTCCCAAACCCACAATTTTTGTTCATTTTGGGGAAGGGTAGCCAGCTGAAAAGAGACAAAACGGTGACTGTGCTGCTGCTGGTTACTTGCTTGTTGCCTTGCATCTCTGCCTACCTACAGATACATGCATATATGTATATGCAAAGACACAAACGAGACACACTGACGATGACATTGACAGCAACAAGGCAGAGTAGCTTTCACAAACAAGAAAAAAAACATCATTTTTTAGATGGAGCAGACCCAACATATCACTCGACTTGTCTCTCCCCCAAAACTATCACCCATTTGGGTATCGTCATACCCTAACTTTTTCTCTCCCTCTCTCGCTCTCTCTCTCTCTCTCTCTCTCTCTCTCTCTCTCTCTCTCTCTCTCTCTCTCTCTCTCCCTCTCTCTCTCTCCAGTCTCCACCAGGAGCAAGTCCCTTCATTTTCCCCAACATGACCCCAAACACCAAGTACCAAAACGGAATAGAACGAATGGAAGAAAAGCGTAGCTACGGTGTCTTGGTATCTAGCGTGATGTGCAAAAGGGTTAGAAAACCACCCTGCATAAGCAGCTATCCGTGCCTGAATTTTGCATAAAAAGCCCAACAAACACACCTACCTAGCCAAGCGGGATATTCCATCGGAACAGCTACCCTTCAATGCCGAAAAGAAAAACCTCCAATGAAACACACACACAACACACCAACCACGTCGTCATTGTCATTTTGTTTGATATCAGCCTGATCCAAAGACGAAAACAAATGTGAGATTCTAACTGGGTGACGAACCCGACTGACTGGCTGACAGGCACTTACAGAACAGACATGCGATGATGCAAACAGCTCATGGCCAAACACGATCGTTGAAACTGCTGCTGCTTATCATCCATCTATCAGCCAACCACTCCCTTATCAAGATACCACAATAATTTCTTGGCCTGGCCACCATATGAGGGTCCCTGACGTTATTTAGCTCTGCTCTGCTCTTCTGTTCTGTTCTCCCCATTCTATAGAGTACTCTATGATGACGGCAGATACACCCTTCCTTCCCTCGTTTCCCTTGATTTCTATTCTCAGCCTGCCCTTCACTCCCCATATCCAGCACCTCACCAAGCAGGAAAGGGAAGCCCAGATCCAATCATGTCTCCTCCTCCTCATCCTCCTCACACAAGAAGCAGGCCTCTCCCTTGAGTTCCCTACTGGCGAGCCCAGCAAGCCCAGGCCGGCTAGCACCCCCTTCAGGCTCCTTCTCCTCCAGTTTTGTCCCCAGCCGTAACGCCGGCGCTTCCCTTTCCCTACCCATATCCACAAGCTCCAGCTCACCCCCCCTTCTCTTCTTCCCTCTTGCCTCTTTCACCATCACTCCGTCATCATCACCATCCATTACCATCACTACCCCTTCAATTTCCTGCTGCTGATCCACCTCCCCCATCACCTGTTGCTGATGCCCTGCTCCCCATAATACATCCCGCCCTCCTTCCCCGATACCCTATAGGCGAAGGATCTGGCACCGGCTGCTAATGCCGTCAAATAAGCAAGTATTATCAATAGGGATATACTGCTTAGTAATGATCTTGATCATCTCCTGCGCCACCATCCCCCCCGTCAGCGCAGCAACATTGTGCAGCTCGCCCCCCTCGGCGCGAGCCACCTCCTCCACCGCCTGGCGAACCCTCTCGTTCTCGTCTGCCCCGGGCACCATCTTGGCTACCCTTGCCAACACCTCCTCTTGTCTAGGCCAGCCGCGGCCGTCTTCTGTCTCAACTTGGTGGGCTGTTGCCTGCATGGCGAGATAAATGGGGAGAAGCGAGAGTGGCTGGAGGGTCATTTCGGCTTGCTCGTCGTTGCGAAACTCTTGGGCTGTAAAAGCGAGTGGCGAAAATGGCACTCTATTGTCAGCCAGCCTTTCTTTTCTCTCTCGTTTCTTTCTTCGTCCGAATTTCCTCGTTCCTGTCACACCCCTCCTCGTCTCATGACCTCGCCCCTCCGTGCGCCCAATGGACGTCTGGAGTGGCCAATATGGGGAGGGGTATGTCGTCCTCGACGACAACCACGGACGGGAATGGGGAATATTGTGGGAACTTACCTGCTACCTCGTTCAAGCGATCTGCCCTGCTGATCTTCCCTGTCGTTGCGTTGATGAGCTTGACAAAGGCTGCGTTCTTGCAGAAGAGGTCCACTTCTGCGGGATCGATGGTCTGGCCACCGGCCGTGGCTTGGACGGTTTCCAAGATCTCAGCAGCATCCTTGCGTGCCTTTGCCTTGTAGATATTCTGGAGCTGAATGTACACCTTGGACTGGGCCTTCATGTCAGGGACTTTCCCCGGGAGGGGCAAGCACTTGTGCTTCTCGTAGAAGGCCTTGACCGCGTCGGCGATCACCCAGAACCCGGACTTTTGCTCCGCCTGGGGCAGCCTCGTCAGCATCTGCCTGACACGTTCATCAAAGAGGGGTAGCTGTCGACGATGACACCATCACGAAAGAGGGGTGGCCCATCTCTCCAACCAAGGTTGTGACTTACTGGGTTTGTGCGCTCGTATTCGAAGATCTCCTTCAACCCTGACGGTAGTGATGGCACCACAAGGGTCTTGAGCACGGCAGCAGCCGCTTCATCAAAGTTCTCTTCGCCACCCTCGGCATTCTGGGTCCTCGCCACGCCCTGGACTATCCGACGAAACTCGGTCTTCTCCTTGTAGGTTGAGGGGTAGCTGCCATCGTGCTCCGCTTTCCATCTCTCAAGATAGTGGAGCAATATCACGACATAAGGCAGGTGACCATGCTCGAAGTCAGACAGATCATCAATGTTCTTCGTTAGCTCCTCCGCGAACACAGCCAACTCAGGCCATGGGGTGAGGAGGCGAAGGTCTGTCGTGGCTGTCTCGTCTGGATGTGTGTCGACGATGGGGAAAGCTCCTGGGAGGTTGATGCGGAAGTAAGAGTAGAAGCCAGCGGAGTGTATCGCCACCAGCGGGGTTTGGTGTTGTTGCCCATGTGATTCCAGAAGCGAGAGGTTCTCTGGTGTGATGGGGTGTGTATATATGATGGTTGTGAAGACGGGGGAACTCGTGAGGAGGGAGTCTAAAGTCTTGACATTCTATATTCACCACCACCGTATGTGAGTATAGTTGTGTGATGAGAGCTCACACTTACAGCGTGATAACTGACTGAGAGTCACGGATGAGTCCACCTACCTCATTCGGATACCAGTCACCCTGGACCTCTGGGTTCAGCTCCAACAGATGTCCTGTGAGACTCTCTGACCTCGGCTTTCCCAGGCTGTCCTCATCCAGGAAGAAGTTGACGCCCAAGTCTGCTTCCTCGACCCTGGCTTCATCATAAATGGCAAAGCGACCAATTCCTGGATACATATGTTAGCTTCAAACTCATAGCATGAGATATAAGAGCGAGTAAACGTACCTGGCAACACCAGGTTCTTCAAAGTCTCAACACCCACTGTGCCAGGGCCAGAGTTCACCAGCAAGATATTGGCTGACTCGAGGGCAGCTTGGCCACTGGCAGCCCATAGGCGAAGCTGACGATCATATTTCCGTTCCTTTTCTGAAGGGCCATGCAGAATCGGTGGTGTCTGGCTCATTACGATTTCGGTCATGTTTGATGAATCGCGCTGACGGTGTCGCACAGCGAGATGTTTGTTTACTGTCGTCGGCCGTTAACTCGAGAGGCTCTGCTTCAGTAAGCTTCAGGGAGTGGGTGAGGGTGCCTGAGTGAGAGGCACAGCCACAAGGCGGGGAGGTGGAGTCGAGGCGCCAACCAAGATCCTGGCACTTGGGGGAGTTCGGTGGAGAATTAACGGTTCGGTCCGTGCTTCAGGGATACTTGGCGTGGCTTGCCGTGGCTGGGAAAGAACCCTAACCCAGTTGTTGAGATCAACCTCACTCGATGATGATGAGAGAGAGAAGAGGTAGCAGAATAAGATACCAGTGATTGGAGTCCAGATAAAGAGACAAAGACAATTTACTTCTCTTACGATGAATTCACGGAACGATCGCTGAGTTTCCAGCCATCACATGGCTCCAGGCACCATATCCACCTGCACCATTGAGTTTGGAAGGAACAAGGATGGCCATCAAGCCACCCACCTTCCATTCCCATTGCACTTCAGAATCTTCACCGATAGATCAGAGCATCAGATTAGCAATCTTTTCGTCAAACTGATTGCTGTTATCTGCAATTCGCTTTGAACGACGGTCTCAGCATCTGCGCCGCAGTCAAAATGCCTGTTTATCTGAAGTGCAAGGTCCAGGGCTGCGATGCCGAGTTGGTGAATGGCATGGTTGTCACCTCCTGTATGTAAGTCTCAATTTTTATTTTCGGTATCTGGCGAATGTCAATCAGGGAGACGGCTAACTTTGGGAGCAGGCACATCCTCTGTAACCAATGCGCCATCACCCATGGCTTCGGAAATGAGCCACCATGGAGCTGCCCGGTGTGCAGAAAACATCTTGAGGAAGAAGAAATCTGCAATCATCAGGACTGGGAATCATCGGTTCAAGATGCGGTCCAGTTGATGTATGGGCTCAGCCCAACAATGATCATGGAAGCTGCTTCAAGTGCGATGGCGTTCTGGTCACAGCAACTAGAAGTACAAATGTCAGTTGCTCCCTCATATACCTATCTTTTTGACAGCTACATGCTCACTGCAAAAGATCAAAGGACGGTCGAGAAAAGGCGGAATTGTCGAGAACCTGTGCTGGCTGGAAAGCTAAATATGATGGTATGTTGCAGATAGCCAGAATATCCCCGGGTCCTTTCCCCTTTGCTTACTTCCCATCTAGCAATACAAAGGGAGGAGGAAACTATTTCGCGCCAGTGTGAAGATCTCAACAGAGATCTGGAAAAAAGAAATAAGGAACTGCTACATTTTCGGAGTGTCTACGACAAACTCAAAAAGAAGTGTCGAGAACTTCAGGAGCAGCTCTATCAGATGCGTGCCGAGGAAGGGACATCACAACGAGAGCAAGTCTCCTCAGGCCGTCTTCGCCCAAGAGATCTTCCACAAGCAGGACATGGAGTCAGAGATACAAGACTGCCGCGCGCTGCATTTTCAGGGGCCGACCGGATCAATAGGCCCAGATATGTGACAGTGGCCCCTGACCAACAAGCTCAGACTGTTCAAAGAAGCATGCCTGTCCCAGAAAGCTACAGTCACCAAAGTAAGTGATTGGGTCATACTATTCTCATATCAACAGGCGCATCGAACTGACGTTATGGTACAGGACCACCAGAAAACCTCATTCAGCCACAAGTCTTCAACACCACTGCATCACCAACATACATGTCTGTCCCAAGAGCTGAACAGAGAACCAATAGATATGCTCCAGGCTCAGGTCGAGCTCATCATGCAACACTTCCCCCTCAGAGCAATGTACCAGGTGGCCCAAGACATGTTGTCAATGCGCCCTTGGCGTCTATGAGCACGAGATCCACATCCATGGCAAACGCAGGAGAGTTACAACTTGCCCTAGGTCGAAAAAGAGGTCAGTGTGCAAATGCTCTCATTGGCGCGCATCGTACTGACAACAGGCCTTGGTAGTACAACCTAACACCACTTTCATGTCTTCACGGGCAGCAGAACGGCCAACTTCGCGATACGATACTTTGACCCGTCCCGGTCAATACTTCGACATCCTCAGGGGCAGAGACCATCGGGCCCCCTTCTGAGTGGACGGTGAAACTACCAGACAATATCCTGTTTTGAGAAGCTCAAAGGGAAGCCCTCTGTTATTTCATCGCTGCTCAAATATTTTCTATGGCTGCCACACCATGGATGGTGTTTCCGCTCTGGATCTCCGGCATGGCCTGGTGCTCACATGCTGAGAAACCTGCGAATAACCATCCATGCGTTTTAGCGCTTCCGGCAGCATACCAATATCTAAGTTTATGTGATGTTGAAATGTTTCTTCAGGTTTATTTTCTCGATAGCGGTGCTGATGCGATTGGCAGGTGGTGGTTTCTTGAGCCCTTGTGAAAGGGGTTCGCCGCGTTTGATCGACAGCAAGGCTGCGAGATCGAACAAACGTTTCAGCAGATCCCCGGATTTCTCACCCTTGTTTTTTTGCTCGAAACTAGAAGCAAAAGAACAAAAGAATAATCATGCGTGCACAGCCACTCCCAAAAAAATCCCCTTGTAGGGAAAGAGAAGAGTTCGTGAAACTGATTTTGAGCAGCCAATTATCGAGGCTCCGCCTGCGACTGATAACCTCAACAGCGCTTTCTTGTCTTACTTCTATGTCCAAAAATGAACTGATGATGAGGATAGTCTTTAAAGAATGAGATCTGTCGCGTAAAAAGGCTTTTTTAGAGCACAGCAAGCCACAAGGATAACTCACCGAGTCCTCAAACTGCTTTTTGGCATCGCTTTCAAGACTTTGCTGGGGTGCAATAAGTCTTGCAGCCCTATTGGTCGAACACGATGAAACCTGCCATCAGGGTGACAGCTCTCGGGGATTTTATCGCCAAGATGTCTAACCGGGTTACTGTTTCTGGTGCACAGATGTTTCGTCTTGCAACTACAACTCTGGGCAGCCATCACGAGTTCTTACTGGCTTACGGGATATCTCGGCGACGGTGATGGATGGTTTGCCAACCTGTCAAAGCTTATTTGTCCAACCGAACAGTCAAAGCGAGTAGTGTGGCATCCGGAGCCAAGACGGATCTCGGGTCTGCCATCAGGGACCACGACAGGAAGACTCTGTTTGTAGATCTGTAAGTTGAATGCATGCATTGGCAAACAGGCTAGGTGATCTCTCCTGCTAACACTATCGTGATCCCCAGATCAGCTTCATGGCTATTGTGGATCACCCAGGAAATGAAGTTCAGCGTACTTACAACTTCTAGCTGGCTGGCTGCTAAAGTCAGCAGTTCTTCAAGCTTCACCGGTCTTCCTGGATGACAGCACGGCGAGAGATGCACTAGTACTGACTGCTTGGTATCTGCTGCGGAGGGGAAGGAGGCCGTCGACAAGACCCCTCGAAACTCTGGCGCTCAGCACTGCCTCACGATGAAGCTCCTGGGCAAGTGTTTTGGAGTCGACGCAACTTGCCCGAAGCGGTTGTTGCTACGTGCCTGAGCGATTTCTCGTCACTTGAGGGGTAAGTTTCGACAACATCGGATGAAAACAGACAGAGAGAATGTGCTGGCAAACTCGGGTGTCGGCTCACAGGGGCGGCAGTCGACCAAGATGTGGTGGACTCATGATCACAACGATATGGACGAGAGGGCTGAGAGAATTGTCTATAAGAAGCCATTACCATCCCTCTCTCATCAGCCAGTTCTACATCTTCATCCTCACCTTCACCCTCAAGCGTCCAGGAGACCAACTCAGCACCTTCTTCTATTCACATCTATCTTTTCCAACCTCCCGCCGGCAGGGTCCCCTTTACAACCTCTATCACTTTATTCACTTCTTCAAAAAACACCAACCTCACCTCCTCATCATGTCTCCCTCTCTCACCACCCTTCTCACCCTCCTCCTCCCGGTCCTCCCCCTCGTCACCGCCCATGGCGCCATCGTCCAAGCAACCGGCAACGCAGGCGGCTCCGGCATGGCCCTCGGCATCGACACCACCACTCCCCGTGACGGCACCCGCCGCCGTCCCTTCCAGCAGGACTCCACCCGCTTCCGTGGCTCGTCTGCTCAAACCTTTGGCGAGACGATCGGTGCCGGCGATAACCAGCTTGAAGCCGGCACGAGGGCTATTCTCGCTGAGACAGGAGACCAGCTTCCCCAGGTCACCCCAGGAGGTGAGGTCTCGATGATGCTTCACCAGGTCAACGCCGATGGCGGTGGTCCCTACCAGTGCATGATCAATGCCGATGCCACAGGCCAACAATGGTCCAACATCCAAGTCACACAAAATGTCCCAGGGCGCAACTCTCGCAATCGGGTAAGTCTCTCCAGCGATTTCAGACTATATCACGAGGAATCATGACTGACAATGAGGATTACAGCAAGGACAAACTACCGCTTTCCCCCTGACGGCTAGCATCCCCGCTAACCAGCAGTGCACGGGGACTGTCGCTGGTCAGGAGAATGTCTGCCTTGTGAGGTGCCAGAACAGCGCCAGAGCTGGACCGTTCGGGGGTGTTGTGCCGGTGCAGATGGCTGGCGCAGCTGGTAACAACAACGCTGACAACAATGTGGAGGTTGGCAATGGAAACAACGGCACTGACACTGGAGCTGCGAACGCCAGACGCCTCCTCGCTCGCAGCGTGAAGGCGTCGGAGATGAAGCTGCAGGCGCTCATCCAAAGGGCGGTCGAGCTTGATGGTGATTTGAGGGATCCCGATGTGCTGGCTGAGTTCTTGGAGGACTTTGAGGCTTAAGCAAGGCTGTGTGGATATGGAGCTCTGGGGTGGAAAGAGCTGACGACACGAAACCGACATGAACAACAGGTGACTGGATGGCAGGCCACCAAGGCACAACATTCATTTTTCCTGTGTCATTTCCTGATGGTCGAGAAACATTTTTCCTTGTCTTGTTGGCACAGGTGGCCAATGCTACACTCATTGATACCCAAGTAACTGGCCATTTGTTTAGAGCAGAGAGTCTGCCTCTTATGTATATGTGTATATAGCTTGCATTTTGTTCCTGTATTTCTAGTCTTCTCATTTCAAGTCGAATAGAAGTCACTCCTTTCAAACAGGCTGCTATCCTCAACTTACTTCTTTGTGCTTTTGTTTTTCTCAACAGGAGAAGGGTGGTGACAGCTCACGGACAAAAAGGGGGCTAGTGCCAAGTCTTGAGAATGGAGCCAAAAACATACAACACCAGGGATTCCCCAGTGGTCACCCACCTGAGTACTGATCTGGCGGTCATGTAGGATAACTGTGAGGATGGGAAGCTCCAAAAAGAGTATATTGTTTACCTCAAGATATTGAAGACACTATGCCGGTAAACGGATATGGAACGGCACAGCTTGAGCCCGTTTCCACCGTTAGTTGGCGGACAATGCGGACACACCCATGCCGAGCACAAGATACGGGCTAAGCCAAGGTACCGATCATTTTGAGGTAGGCCCACAGAAACCCCGCAGCATGGTTGGTTGACACGTTGGACACCTGGAGTGGTTGGGTGACGATGGGTTGGTGATAGGTTGATTGGACACTTGGAATGGTTGGGTGATGATAGGTAATAAGGTAGCAGGATAAAAGTGGATTGCTAGGGTAAACTAACGGTGTAGATCACAGCTATGCTGGTACAAAACCCTCAAAGCCCCAAAGGGGTGGTCTCGCCCCCCTCGTTCTAGATTCCCAAGTGTTCCGAAGAAAGTTGAGTGCATGCAACGCGTTGTTGAACTGTGTATAAGAATAGATCCCCAGAATAAGGGTCTCTATTCTCTGCTGCTGGTCTTTCCGCGGACATGCCAGCCCAGTTAAGAAGCAAGGAAAGAGCAGGAGATACTGCGTGGATCCT